CGCGATGCTCTGAGTGTCTGCAGCAGGAAGTGAGTGTGGTTGCGGTCGGCCACACTCGGGTCTATTTGTGTCGGGAAAGAAATAAGAGAAAAGAGCGCCTCGACTTTGGAACCTGTTGGTTTACAGTTTAGATTAAAGATGATGTACGCAACTTTTCTCAGCTACATCTGGGATTTTTATACACCAAAAATCATTTAAATAATATGGTTGTATGTTTATATTCTGCTAACATGTACAGATGTATAAGACGTTTGTTATGCTAAAGCTAGAGATTTCATACTAGCTTCTTTTATAGGCAAGGCAAGTTTTTTTTATATAGCACAATTCATACACAAGGCAATTCAAAGTGCTGAACAAAACAAGATAGCATTAAAATCATAAATAATCACAGAACATTAAAAAGAAAGATAAAAATATAAAATCCCTCAGTTGTATGCACTGTTAAACAGAACTGTTTTTAACCTGGTTTTAAACATTGTCAGAGAGGAGGCTTGTCTCACATCTTCAGGAAGACTGTTCCAGATTTTAGCAGCATGAATCTGAAAAGCAGCCTCCCCATGTTTAGTTCTGACTCATTTGATATATTTCAGTTATTATATGCTAAAGTTACAGATTTTATTTTGTTATTAGTTCTTGTTCATTTCTCTTGTGCTGCGTGCTCCTCATTCTTACTGTTTTGTAACTGGTGATGCAACACTGACTGTGGCACCAACAAAGGATCTTTGGCCAAATCTATGTTTCGCAACAATCTTTCTGCCTAAATTAAACTAGAGATTAGAGATTATTAATGCATGGTTAAAAGTCAAATTACAATCTACGACTAGGCTATATCCACACGTAGCCGGGTGTTTTTAAAACCGAATAATTCCCCCCCTCCGTTTATTAGCATAGTTTTTGAAAAAAAAAAAAAACTCATCCACACATTACGGAACATCTGTGTTTTCAATCACATTCATAACATTCCAAACCTGTGCGTCCTTTGACGTCCTGCGTTGGGGAAAACACAGAAGTGGGCGGAGTTTTGATGCTGACGCCGGTACTTCTGTAGCGGCACTTTACAGTCATTGAAGAAACTCAGGGTGAAGACATATGTTTACAAGCACTGACCCCCGTCCTCAGCCCTGGTTTGGTCCTGGTTTGTTTTCGAGCATGAGTCCCTGTGACCACTTTGCTGCTCTCTGATGTGGAGGGAGGATTTTCGTCACCTGCTTTTGCTGCATCTCGCCGCTGAACCCACCGCTGCTGCGCCGGAGCATGATCCGGTGGGAACCACAGTTTTCACAGCAATAAGATCCATGCTTTCTTCGTTGTTGTTTTGGCACATATTGTGACGTGCGAAAACACAAAACTCCGGTTATCTCTGTCTACAGGCAACTGCATAAACAGAGTTTTCATAAATCTTCACTTTGCCCGGAATTTTTAAATACATTCGTTTATGATGCGTTTTCATGTGGATGACGGGCACACGAAGAAAAATATCTCCGGTTTAGCAGATACCATTTACACTATAAACGGAGGTACACACTGGGGAAACCTGCACAAGTATTCCAATGTGGTTTTACCGCAAATAATTATGAATTTGAATCCTTCACAGACATGGGAAGAACATGGAAATTCCTCTCAGAAAGGCTTTGTTCCGACCGGGATTTGAACCCAGAATGATAAAATTGAAATGACAATGACACAACTACAACTGATAAATCAATAGACTTCTTAAAATTTATGATACAAAATAAATAGCTTTAACACCAGTATATTAAAGTATTTCCCCAGATTTTAGGAAATAACCGCACTCTCTACTCTGGTGTTATTTGACGCCCGGGGGGCCGGGGGTGGGGCACAGCCAAGTTTATTTGTAAAGCACAATTCATACGCAAGGCAACTAAAAGTGCTGAACAAAAAAGGATAGCATTATAATCATAAATAATCACATTTACATTAAACAGAATGAAGATTGTCAGAGAGGAGGCCTGTCTCACATTTTCAGGAAGATTGTTCCAGATTTTAGCTGGATGAATCTGAAATGTAGCCTCCCCATGTTTAGTTCTGACTCCGGGCACCAGCAGGAGTGCTCCTCAGAGTCCAGGTCGGTTCGTACAAACATGTCACTAATGTACTTTGCAGATATGGAGAGACTTCACTTGTTTTGAAACATAAACTGTGTCTTAGGAGTGGACTGACTGAGGCCTGACGTCACCATAATGTTAGCTGAATGTGGAAGAGACCGTTTTGGACATAGGCTAGCTGGAGACCATTTCCTTTTATGAAATAAGAGCATATATAATGACGGAGTGACCTACACGCCATAGCAGAGGCAGATGCAAACAAACGTGTTGCTAAGACGGTTGCTAAGGCAAGCTGGAGTTTACCCTGCCAATGAATAATAATAATAATAATAATAATGCATCGGTTTCATATAGCGCTTTTTTGGACACAAAGACGCTTCACATGTCATTGTTCATTCACTCCATACACAGTGGTGATAAACTACTACTTTAGCCACAGCTGCCCTGGGGCACACTGACAGAAACGAGGCAACCAGTCTGTGCCAGTGGCCCTTCCGCCCACCACCAACCATTCACACACACACGAGACTCATTCTGAAGGCATCTGATTGGTCAATCCTTTAACATGGAAGAGAGAGTCGGAGAGAGTTGAAGCAAAACTTGAGCACTTCCTTATTGGGCTTCGTCGACCTAGCGGGCGAACATTGTCCATCTATATACAGTCTATGGTTGGAACATTTTCAAAATTTTGAAATGTACAAGGGACAGAGAGGACAGACAACCGACTTTGTGGAATGAGCCTTATCGTGAGAGGCCTCATCTTCTCTGCAAGTGTGACGGAGCCGAGAGGAAATGCCACAGTAGAACAATGCTACACACACACACGCACACACTCGGACCCCCTCCCCATGGGTTTCCTGACGGGGCCGAAGGTTCCTGTGCAGGTTGGCCGATTTCCGGAGTAGAGCAGAGGCCGACTGTGCTGACGTAGGAGGTCTGTGGGACAATGGACCAGAGTCTAAACAAAGCCCAGATTCTGCTCGGTCGCATGTAGCGCGCGGCTAAACAACGGAAAAAACACTCTAATCTTCACGTCGTGCAAACAGGTGCCTCTGTTAATGTGTGGTAGTATGATCGGTGCGGGCTGCGTTTGTTGGCTCTGTAGACACCATTCAACATAATTAGTTAAAAAGCACCATTTTTAAAGACTCAGTGAGGCTGGACCAGTTAGCCACATTAGCCACATTAGCCGTGCACTTCCTGTTTCCCTGAGAATAAAATGCCCTATAACTGCAGCTTTTCCATTGGGACAAAAGAAACACTAAATTTGTTCAATTACAAGAAGGAGAACATTGTACAGAGACTTTAAAGCTGGGGTACCTAACTCCCCTACAATTCAATGAACAATTCAGACCATGTTGTCTTCATCTTATCAGAATTTTTTTTTTTTGTTGAGCCCTGTGAGTCACGTTTTGACTCTTTGGGCAGAGAGTTGATTGGCTGAGTGAGGGTGGACCTCACTTTTTTGTTTGAGAAAGCTGATCTTAAGATGTGACAGAGGCTAAAAATACTTACATGTGAAAACTAGTGATAGAAGCCCCTGTTTTTAGATTTTGGAACTAGTGACATGGTTTTCATTAAATCCTATGTTTGTGGTGTGAAAGTTAGGTACCCCAGCTTTAATATGTGTGTATCCTGCCATGGAGGCTGTAATTCCCATTGTCACCGGTAAACACCATTGTTGTCATCTATCTATCTGCTCTGCCAGTATCTAGCTATCTGTCTATCTATCTACAGTGTATCTATCTATTGATCCATCCTTCTATCTATCTATCTACTTCCCTCTCTCTATTTATCTATCTATGTATCCAACTACTTTCCTGTAATTCCCCACATTTACCACACAGTTAGAAAAAACTGTTTAAAGGACTTTTTAATGCAAATTATGTAGGTTGCTAAAAAGGCTATAATGAGTGTATTATAATTGTAGCCTGTACACAGATGGACAATGCTAACCCGCTAACTCGATGAAGCCCAATAGGGAAGTGCTCACATGTAAAAGTAAACTCCTCTAGCTCAGTAACTGTTTGTGTCACACTCAATTTGGGCTTAAATCTGTGGTTTAGCGCTCTGTATGGTTCTCTCTCTGATGGTCCCATCTCTCTGATGGTCCCTGTGTGTACGGTTCTCTCTCTGACGGTCCCTGTGTGTATGGTTCTCCCTCTGATGGTCCCTGTGTGTACGGTTCTCTCTCTGATGGTCCCTGTGTGTATGGTTCTCCCTCTGATGGTCCCTGTGTGTACGGTTCTCTCTCTGATGGTCCCTGTGTGAACGGTTCTCTCTCTGACGGTCCCTGTGTGTACGGTTCTCTCTCTGATGGTCCCTGTGTGTATGGTTCTCTCTCTGATGGTCCCTGTGTGTACGGTTCTCTCTCTGACGGTCCCTGTGTGTACGGTTCTCTCTCTGATGGTCCCTGTGTGTATGGTTCTCTCTCTGATGGTCCCTGTGTGTACGGTTCTCTCTCTGATGGTCCCTGTGTGTACGGTTCTCTCTCTGACGGTCCCTGTATGTATGGTTCCCTCTCTGACGGTCCCTGTGTGTACGGTTCTCTCTGATGGTCCCTGTGTGTATGGTTCTCTCTCTGATGGTCCCTGTGTGTACGGTTCTCTCTCTGATGGTCCCTGTGTGTACGGTTCTCTCTCTGATGGTCCCTGTGTGTATGGTTCTCTCTCTGATGGTCCCTGTGTGTACGGTTCTCTCTCTGACGGTCCCTGTGTGTATGGTTCTCTCTCTGACGGTCCCTGTGTGTACGGTTCTCTCTCTGATGGTCCCTGTGTGTACGGTTCTCTCTCTGATGGTCCCTGTGTGTACGGTTCTCTCTCTGATGGTCCCTGTGTGTACGGTTCTCTCTCTGATGGTCCCTGTGTGTATGGTTCTCTCTCTGATGGTCCCTGTGTTTATGGTTCTCTCTCTGATGGTCCCTGTGTGTTGCAGGAAGCCCTCTCGGTGGTGAGCCAGGACCAGATCATATTTGATGCGGCGTTCGCTCCGTCGTCGCTGCTGCAGATGAAGGCGGAGCTAACGCAGACCCCGCCCCCTGCAGAGAGCGAGTGGACCTCCCCCAAGAGGAACCAGCACCAGGTCAACGGCTCCAGGTCAGACTCAGGGATCAGGTGGACACAAAACCAGGTCTAATGTCACTTACAGGAGGACAGATGAGGCATGAATATACTGTTTCTGTTAGAGCTGGGAATTAGCAAAAATGTGAGGATTCGATAGTTTTGTGATATTTGGGCCATTATTTAATAATATTGCGATTCTTAACATATAATAATTATGCATCGGTTTTATATAGCAATTTATTTGGAGACTCAAAGACGCTTCACATGTCATTATTCTTTCACTCCATACACGGTGGTGATAAACTACTACTGTAGCCACAGCTGCCCTGGGGCACACTGACAGAAGCGAGGCAACCAGTATTTGCCATCTGCCCCTCCCACAACCACCAACCGTTCACACACACACCAGACTCATTCTAGGCAATGGGGGTGAAGTGTCTTGCCTAAGGACACAACAGCAGTTTGGCCCTTTACAGCCGCAGCCGTCCCACTGTGGCACCTGCTGTTCCCAGAAGCTAAGTGTCTTGCCAAGGACACAACGACAGCAGACATCAGTGGGAGTCGATGGAGAAAGTCTAGTAGTGGGCTCGAACCCACAACCTTCAGGCTCAAAGGTCAATGCTCTTCCATGATTCCATGATACAGACAGTTTTGTGATTTGATTCTTTGATATATTGTGATTCATGCCCTCATATTATTCAAAGACGTTACAACATGGAGGTACATGAACTGAAGCAAACACTGAGGGTACAGCAAAAACATTCTATTTGAGCCTTCAGATAAGATAAGATAGACTTTATTGATCTCACACTGGAGAAATGTTCATGTCACATTTGGCACAGATAGAATCCCTCAGATCTGCGCAAAAGAGTGTGCAACATGTTAAAGGTTAATAATATAGTCTGTACAGGATATAATTATGAACAATAAGAAGTGGCAATTCAAGAAAGAGTGGCAATAGCAGTGCAGGTTTTTTCAGTCCTAGTGCATTAGTGACTTAAAGTGACTTATTGTACAGTCTGACAGCGGTGGGGATAAAGGACACAGGACAGACATTATTATTCTCTGATAGACGACTCTCACATAAACAGGGAGCTCCCAGCACTTACATTACTCACATACAACAGACTAGAGTCAGAGTACCGGATTAAACTGGTCATCACTACTCCGACCAGTTTACTCTAATATAATATCACACTACTTTGCTCTACTGTGTCGATTTAATCGTGAGTGCAAAACATTGCGATACTGAACAGAATCGAGGTCGGTGATTGTTGAGGCACAGATTCTCACATCAACAGAACCTATAGAGCAGATTATTCACTTTGTATTTGGCAACAGCGGAGTATGTTTCATGTCTGCATTATAACATGTAACATACAAAACAGATAAAAAGTGTATGTAAAAGTGTTTTTGGGCCTTACCTATAAATTCTCCTAAAACTCCATACACCACTTAGGTCCAGATAATACTGTAGTTGGAACAAAGATCAATCAATCAATCAAGTTTATTTATGAAGCATAATTCATGCAGTGCAACCTAAAGTGCTTCACACTGACATAAAATCACACGTTTACGAACATTTTAAAACATAGAAAAAAATGGTTGCAATGAAAAGAAACATGGCATTTTACAGCCACAGCTTGGGACAAATAAAAGATCTCTTAATGTTAATCTTATCTTAATCATTTCAGAGTGAATGTCAGAATATAAAACTGTATAAAAGCTCAATAAATAAAACTCAGTCATATGCACAGCTCAAAAGGACGGTTTTCAGCTTTGTCTTAAACAACGCTAGAGATGAGGCCTCCCGTGCACCATTAGGAGGATTGTAATCGTACATTTGAAAATAATGTTGAGCTTTAAAAGGTAAAAACCAACAGGTGCCTCTTCTCATGTTCCGATAGCTGTCTGCAGCCGACTCTTGAGTGTTCACCCTTCACCTCCCGCTCTTATTGGAAGCAAAACATTGGCCTTAGCGGCTTTTAAAACATCTTCAAATGTGTTACATGTAATTTGGCTAAACCATAGTTGCCCTCAGCAGCTCTTGGTCCAAAGTGTGTTTCCAGTTCGGAGGGAATTCCATTTTTACATCAAAGAGTCGGAAACGCGGGGATAAATAAAGATGGCGGCATTGTTCTTGGTGACTCAGAGTTTGGGAGTTTGGGAGTTTGCTTCAGAGCTGCTTTTCCACATGTGTGAGTGGGATTTCTCATGATCACAGAGGAACACGCTCTTCCGCTGTTTGGGGAAGTGACTCCACAATCGCATCACTTCTGTGCAGTTCATTAATACACCCAAGAGCACAGTTCCAGGACTGTGGTGTTCAGGACTGAGCTGGAAACTTTTAAACTGTTAAACCAGGCGAATGGGTGCAAGGCCTTCTGGGTCCTGGCCTGCTGTATGTATGTACCGTGGGCCTTAACCGGCTCCATAAGCAGCTGCAGAGGGCCCCGAGGTCACTGTCAATGTTTCTTTATCACACTTTAGCCAATTTGGAAACATTAAACCCATTCTAGCCTCATCCAGGAATTCTCAAACTTTTCAATCAGGGCTCCCAAAACATGTGTAAAATCTGTAAATCGTTTAAAGCAGTAATAATTGTATAAGAAGAAGCGTGAGAAACTTTTATTTGAATCATATTGTGTAATTTTACCTAAAGAATTCTGTCTAGAGTAAGAGTCTGAAATAAAGAAGAATTAACTCAACATTCTTTGTCTAACTTTTCCAACTTTGCTAGAAATTGAAGGTGGAAGATTAAGCAGAAAAAATAATAATTATATCCTAAAATTACTTTTGTCACTTTTGTTTCCAGATCTCAAAACAGTTTGGTTCTTTCACGAAGCTGCGGCTGTAAAATACGAAATTCTTGTTGTGTCTTTATGCAAGACACTTCACCCACATTAGAATGAGTCTGGTGTGTGTGAATGGTTGGTGGTGGTGGGAGGGGCTGATGGCACAGACTGGCTGCCTTGCTCCTGTCAGTGTGCCCCAGGTCAGCTGTGGTGGCTACAGTAGTAGGAGTGAATGAAAAATGAATAATGTGAAGCGTCTTTGAGTGTCCAAAAAAGCGCTGTATAAAACTAATGCATTATTATTATTGTTTTATCTGTGTGGGTTTTTTACATTAGTAGTAAATGTAGATAATATCTCGGATTCAAAACCTGTTTGCGTTTTCAGCCGCGAGTCTCCGGTGGACTGCAGCGTGACCAAGCGTTCAAGACACATCAGCAGCGATGGCTCCATGTCCTACCAGCCCTACAGCCCCCAGACCTCCACCCCCAGCTCTCCTCCGGGGGGTAGAGGCATGACCTACACCACCACCAGCTCTCCACCGGGAGGAAGAGGGGGCATGACGACCTACCCCAACTCCACCTCTCCTTTGGGGGGTCGAAGCGGCATGACGTACCCAACCTCCAGCTCACCTTTGGGGGGGAGAGGAGGCATGATGTACCCCAGTTCCAGCTCTCCCTCAGGGGACAGATCCATGCAGTACCAGCCCTACAGCCCCCAGAACACTCAGAGCACAGCCGCACAGAACCACAATGCAAGCACTCCACCAGGGGGCAGCACGGAGGAGAAGAGGGTCATCGTACCTGCAGGTATCAAGCACTTTGTTAAGGATTGCACTTGCGATTGTTCTTATGGTCCACTGTGAGAAGCGCAAAGCTGGGGTGAGGATTAGGGCAGTGGTCAGAGTTCGGTGGATACTGGGTACAGGAGGCTGATGGGGCAATAAGTCTTGGGTGCCGAGGGGAAAAATGGCTCAGAATTACTTGGAAGGCCCCGCTCTTGAGTCGGGCCAGCATTGTTGATATTTTGTTATTTCAAAATATCCTCCTCATGCTTCACGGCCAGCTATACGTCTCCAGAGTCGAATATTTATCCACGGGTGCTTTGACAGATTGTAGTCTCTCTTTTCGACAGGTATATACAGCTGCAACGCCTGTACTTGTTAATGTGTGTACTTGTACTACTTGTATTTTGCCATGTTGTGTCCCATAAAGTCACAGTGTGAGTCAGAGGGGTCTGAGGGAACATAATACCAGGAAGTGACGCTGGGTCTGAAGGGGACCGCTCCAGACTTTACAGTCAGTGTACAGTCAGCTGCAGGGAAATGAGACCCTCTTGAATCATAGAAATGCGACATCATGGATATATAGGAATGGGAAAGATGTATAGATAAAGATGGAGGGCACCACCGGATGTTATCAATAATTGGAGAACGCAGACTTCAGAAAAAAATTCCACATCCTGACACAAATCACCTCCAAAATCTAACAATCTGTTTCTTGTCCCATTTAGTAATTGTGAAGTACTGGTGCGATGTGCCATAAGTGGTGGGCGAGCTTTGAGGCTAAGCTTGCAGCTTTTTGTGTAAATTTCTTCTCCACGAGTGCAGCTCCGTGGTGTCTCTATGTCTGAGATCCTCCAGAGACGTCACAGCAGTATCTGCTCACTGCACCATGGATTTATTATAATATTAACCAGTACTTCTGTATCGGCAAACACTTTAGAACAACTTGTTTACAGTCGCGGGAGAATGAGAACTCAGGCATATGTTCACAAGCACTGTGTCCCACATGGACATACCTGGTGTAGTCCTGGTGTAGTCCCGTGCAGGACAAATCTGCGTGCCGCGGCGCACATGCAATTCCTCGAATGGACGTTACTATTGACTTTGCATTGAAACTCGCCGCAGCATGATCCAGTCTGAACCAAAGTCTTCTGTGTTCTGTGCCTGGATCAAACACTTGAAGTAAGTGTTTAATCAGCCGCACTTACATTTCTCCTCATCTTGTGTTGTTTTGTGTTGTGTGTGTTGTGTTGCTCAGACCCAGAGGTGTGGAGCCAGGAGCACGTGCGGCAGTGGTTGGACTGGGCCATAAAGGAGTACAGTCTGCAGGAGGTGGACCCGCTGCTGTTCCAGGGGCTGGATGGGAAGTCTCTGTGTAAGATGACCAAGGATCACATGATGAGCCTCACCTCGCCCTACAACGCAGACATCCTACTGTCTCACCTCAACTACCTCCAGCAGAGTATGCATACACGCACACACATTACACACACGCACACACACACACACATTACACACACACACACACACACACACAAACGTTTGCATTCAAAAGTAAACCTAAAAATTTGATTTGGTGCAGAGTTTCCAGACGGTTTAATCTAATTTTAGACTTTAAACTTGAATACAAGTTTACATTATTTTAATTCTATGAGAAGTGGATTAAGATTACCTATACGATCTATACTGTAAATTAGAAAACATTTCCTTTTTTTGCAAAGTTGTCAGTGATATTTTATCTATTACTTGTGCCCCAGATTATACTGTTCCATTAGATATAGAGCAATCACTTGTCGTAGTAAGGACCGTGTGAGCTGAGAGCTGATTGGCTGCTGCTGTGGATCAGTATCAAACTCAGCTGAACCTCATGTTTGTTTACGTCGGGGTTCCCTCTTCTTCATGTGGAGGAGGCAGGGGGCGGGGCATGAGTGTGACACAGCTGACCACTTCCTGTTCTGTGCTGCACACTTCCTGTATTCACCGCACGACTCTCGCTGAGGTTCTTACTCAACGTTATATCTACAGCGTTCATCTGAGAGAGATGTGAAAGTGAACAGGGCTGAAAATGGAAACACATCAACTTTTATCTTATATTTCAGCCACTTTTGGTTTTTCATCCGGAAACAGTGATTGGCTGAATGTGTGAATATTACGCATGTTTATTGGCCGTCAAAAACACTAATGAGTGTTTTTACATTGTCATTTTGTGTTTTAGAATGTGAAATATCTTAAATAGAAGATATGGGGTGAAATAAGTTCAGGGTAATGTTTTCTACCTGTAATTCCCCATGCTGCCACCAGAGAGAGGAGTAGATTCTTTTACTAATTAGAAATTTACCAAACAGAAGGGCCTGATCTTAGCGTGGATGGATCTAAAAGCAACTCCAGGTCTTTGACTGGTGAGGAACAATGTTGGAACATGGAGAAAAGAGAGAAAATGTGTTTTTGAATGTATTCAGTTCACTAAACACACAGACACACACACATACACACATAGAGAGGCTCGCACACACACGCATAGAGAGAAAGAGAGACAGAATCAGATTTCTTTTTTGCAGGATGTAACAGGAAGCCACAAACTAGGACTTTGCTTTCGACTCTTAGTGCAAACAGGTCACAACAGTAAAAATAGAATAAGGTTGCATGAAAAAAATCTAAATAATCGACATAACATTTCTTTACATTACTACTATATGCAAGCGCAAAAAGTACACACACCGCTAGACACACAACACACATACACACACAGGCCCAAACACTCTCTGACCCTACACCTCTCTCCCTCTATTTCTTCAGTACTTCTTTATATAACATTTTCTTTTACGTTATGTTTTTCCAAGTTGTTTTAAGGAGAAGTTCCACACACTAAAATACTTGTAATGTAGTTCTAAATGTAGGCACACACATGTAACGTGTTGTGTGTTGTGTGTTGTAGGCAGTCCCACCTTCTCGTACCCGTCGGCTCCGGCTCCCAGTGCGTCTCAGCCACGACTGCAGGTCAAAGCAGGTCGGAAACTTTATTCTAAGTTCTTTAATAAAGTCTCATTCTCTCTCACACTCACAAAGACTAAGGTCGACACTGTAGACCTGACCGTAGAGTTTGCAGATTACGGAGGAAGCCGATTTTAACTAAAAAGCTAAAGCTGGCGTCTCCAACCTTTTCCCTTGAGAGCTGCTTTTTCTGGAATAAAAAATGACAGTGAGTTGCTCCATTGGGAAGTTGTAAGAAAATCTATGAAATGATGCACAATCCTGCAAATAAATAATTAAATAAATAGGATCCAATAGTATAGTATAGTTCATATTTGACAACTGCATTTATGAAAACAGTCTCTTACAGAATTTGTAAAGTTGCGACTGAGCTTAAATTATTACTGAAGCCGTTTGTCCCACTGAGAACTCTTGTTTAAAGGCAATAAAATTTAAGTTTAAACATTCAGTATATGTGATATGTGTAATATCCATTGAGGAGCTAAAACAATTTCAATGAGCAGTTTTCTATTGGGCTTCCATTGTCATGGTAACCATCACTATGGCAACAGGAAACAAGCTCCCAAAAATAAGATTAAACCAAGATTATTTTTTTATAATAATTAAAAAATGCAATTAAAACAAGATTGTCATGGTAACAGTTGCTAGAGCAATGGTTGCCATGGTGACTATTTTCATAGCAATGGTTGCCATGGTGACTATTGCCATAGCAATGATTGCCATGATGACTGTTGCCTTAGCAAAGATTGCCATGGAGACCATTGCCATGGCAACCATCATTATGAACACCATTATCATGGCAACTGTTGCTATGCTACTTACTGTGGTAACTACCCTTGTCATGGTAACAGTTGCTGCAGTATTGATTGCCGTAGCAACGGTTGCCATGATGACTATTGCTAAGGTTTCTCCTATTTAAGCAGAGAGTGGATTTGACGAGGCGACGAGAAGGAACAGCTGGTCCGGCAGCATGGCCCCAGGGCCCAAAGGTAGGAGCTCAGACCCATTGTTTTAATAGGTTACCGACATAATACAACCGCACAGAAATAATACATGTAAATAGGTTTAAAGCTGCAGTACATACGTTTAAAAACACAAAGAAATTATCTATATTTGGTCAAATCCATGTCAGTAGACAAGACAACGCAAGTTTATTTGTATAGCACAGTTCATACACAAGGAAACTCTGAGTGCTTCACAAAACAAGATAGAAACAACCACACAAGGTATTAAAATCATAAATAATCACAGTTCATTAAAAAGAGTAACGTTACTGTTGCAGCTAAACAGAACTGTTTTAACCTGGATTTGAACATTGTCAGAGAAGAGCCTTTCTCACATTTTCAAGAAGACTGTTCCAGATTTTAGCCGCATGAATCTGCCTCCCCATACAGTAGTTCCTAGCTCTAAAACAGTTCCTTCTATCACTAGTCTTCCATGCATGTGTTTTTAGCCTCTGTCACAAATTTAGACTCATCTCGAAGCCCAAAGAGTCCAATAGTGACTCATAGGTCTATTTCTGATATTGTTGCAAAATAAAAATTGTTTTTTTTAATAAGATGAAGACAGAATGTTGTGGTCTAAATCTTTTTTTCTGTTTGGATAGAAAAGTATAAATGATCAAACAAAAAAGTGACCCCAAATGTAGCAGTTACCGGTTTTAAAATCAATAGAATCAATTTGATTGTAGATGCTTAGTGACCAGCTTGAAGACACGTGTTTACACTGACAAACTACAAACTTAAATATTGACTGTAACTGTGTGTGTTTGTCCACAGAACACAGCAGAGTGACGGAACCAGCTCCCAGAATCATCCAAGGTAAAACCCAGGCTTTAGTCTCGGTTTGGTCCTAATCTAATGGTTTATTAATAACGCTGATTCACCCTGAGTCAGTCCTGTCATTCATTAGCATATTTACCTGCACAAGTTACATACCCCAGCTTTAATTGCCACAGATTGTGACTGATCCTCTGCCTCCTGTCCTCAGATCCTTACCAGACGTTAGGACCTCTCAGCAGTCGACTCGCAAACCCAGGTATTTTACAACCAATCATAGACAAACATGAAGTTACATTTCAGTGTCCCGTTCGGTTAGGTCTATTTTCAAGATGGAGACTGAGTTTTGTCAAAGTAGCAGAACACTCTTTGAGCTACTTCCCCCTCACAGACTTCCACATTAAGCAATTGAAGAATAGGAACAGGTGAACGGGCTAACGGGCTAGCAGGCTAACAGGTGAACTGGCTAACGGGCTAGCAGGCTAACAGGTGAACTGGCTAACGGGCTAGAAGGCTAACAGGTGAACTGGCTAACGGGCTAGAAGGCTAACAGGTGAATTGGCAAACGGTTGAACTGGCTAACGGACTAGCAGTCTAACAGGTGAATTGGCTAACAGGCTAACGGGCTTGAGATACAATATGGATCAGAAAGTATTTTACTTTGATTAGACCCAATTACTTTTTGAGTTAAATATATAGAATACCTTGCATTAAATAGGGTCGTTTTAAAATTACAAATGACCTGCCATGGTATAGTAACTTCTTGGGATGAAAGCTTGTTAATTCAGAATCAGAATGGACTCAAAAATCATATTATTGGTCGACAGTGGTTGAAATTACCGCAGAAGGGGGCTTCAGTCTCTTTCTGCTTTGATCCTGTTTTAAATCCTCAAGTCTCTCACACAGGAGGAAGAGTTATGTATACAGAGAAAACGTACACACCCAGCCAGAGATTTCACTGTTTAGGTTAAATTTGAGATAATATGAATGAAAAACCTGAAATTGTTTGTGGTTGTGTGAAGCCATGTATTGTCAAATGATATTTTCAAACGATAATATCATTGAGCCGCTCTGGGGAAATCTCAAATGTGTAGTTTGTGCAAGGCAGCCCAGGAATTTGTAGAAACTGGAGGATTTTTGCCAAGAAGGAGGTGCAACTTTACTATCAAAGACTGAGAGACCAGAGAGAGACCGGAGAGCGACCAGAGAGAGACGAGAGAGAGAGACCGTAGAGAGACCAGAGAGAGACCGGAGAGAGAGACCGGAGAGAGAGACCGGAGAGAGACCAGAGAGAGACCGGAGAGAGAGACCGGAGAGAGAGACCGGAGAGAGACCAGAGAGAGACCGGAGAGAGAGACCGGAGAGAGAGACCGGAGAGAGAGACCGGAGAGAGAGACCGGAGAGAGAGACCGGAGAGAGAGACCGGAGAGAGAGACCGGAGAGAGAGACGAGAGAGAGAGACCGGAGAGAGAGACGAGAGAGAGATGAGAGAGAGATGAGAGAGAGAGACCGTAGAGCGACCAGAGAGAGAGACCAGAGAGAGACCAGAGAAAGAGACCAGAGAGAGACCAGAGAAAGAGACCAGAGAGAGACCAGAGAGAGACCAGAGAAAGAGACCAGAGAGAGACCATAGACAGCCTCAAACAATGAGTAAAAAAGCGATCCAGGCCTTTGTGACACATGGTGCTGATGTTGTTTCATATTGAGTCAGGACCATAGATTGTAAGACGATCACATGGTCTGTGTCTCCTCAGAGCTCAGGGGCAGAAGCAGGGCCAGACAGCAGCTCCCCGACAGCTCTCAGAGGCCTGTGGGTGAGTCTGCAGCACACCACACAGACAGGGCCAGAACCAGAACCAGGAAGACACACCACACAGACAGGGCCAGAACCAGAACCAGGAAGACACACCACACAGACAGGGCCAGAACCAGAACCAGGAAGACACACCACACAGACAGGGCCAGAACCAGGAAGACACACCACACAGACAGGGCCAGAACCAGGAAGAAACAGGACCAGACAGGAAAAGAACCATGAAGACACACCACACAGACAGGGCCGGAACCAGGAAGACACACCACACAGACAGGGCCAGAACCAGGAAGAAACACCACACAGACAGGGCCAGAACCAGGAAGAAACAGGACCAGACAGGACAAGAACCATGAAGACACACCACACAGACAGGGCCAGAACCAGGAAGACACACCAGACAGACAGGGCCAGAACCAGGAAGACACACCACACAGACAAGGCCAGAACCAGGAAGACACAGGACCAGAACCAGGAAGACACAGGACCAGATAGGACCAGAACCAGGAAGACACAGGACCAGACAGGACCAGAACCAGGAAGACACACCACACAGACAGGGCCAGAACCAGGAAGACACAGGACCAGACAGGACCAGAACCAGGAAGACACACCACACAGACAGGGCCAGAACCAGGAAGACACAGGACCAGACAGGACCAGAACCAGGAAGACACAGGACCAGATAGGACCAGAACCAGGAAGACACACCACACAGACAGGGCCAGAACCAGGAAGACACAGGACCAGACAGGACCAGAACCAGGAAGACACGGGACCAGATAGGACCAGAACCAGGAAGACACAGGACCAGACAGGACCAGAACCAGGAAGAAACAGGACCAGAGCCAGAGACACAGAAAAATAACCAGAACCAGAGACACAGGACTAGAGCCAGAGACACAGAACCAGGAAGACACAGGACTAGAGCCAGAGACACAGAACCAGGAAGACACAGGACCAGACAGGACCAGAACCAGGAAGACACAGGACCAGACAGGATCAGAACCAGGAAGACTCAGGATCAGGAAGACACAGAACCAGGAAGACACAGGACCAGAGCCAGAGACACAGAACCAGAGACACAGCACTAGAACCAGAGACACAGGACTAGAGCCAGAGACACAGGACTAGAACCAGAGACACAGGACTAGAACCAGAGACACAGGACTAGAACCAGAGACACAGGACTAGAACCAGAGACACAGGACTAGAGCAAGAGACACAGGACTAGAGCCAGAGACACAAAACCAGAGACACAGAGCCAGAGACATAGGACTAGAGCCAGAGACACAGGACTAGAGCCAGAGACAGTGGGCCAGGGCCAAAGACAGAGAGACAGAACCATATACCAAAGCATATTTGTTAGTCCCACGCTGGGTAAATGTCAGTGTTGCAGCGCACATACTGTACAGGACTGTACCGATAGTTGATCAATTATAAATGATTATTATTTTAAATGTTCCATGTTTGTAAAGTCTTTGAAAATTATAAGGGACATGAATCGCAAACTATATCACAGAATTTAATCACAATTCTTTCTTTACGGCAATATGTTAAACATCGTCACATTTTTGCCAACTCCGATTGCTTGAATGTCAATTTTAATTTTCAACTGATAATATCAGTAATGTGTAGTTCTTGCAAAGCAGCCTGGGAATTTGTTGGAACTGGAGGCTTTTTGCCAAGAAGGAGGTGCAGCATTACCATCAGGGAGAGACCAGAGGGAGACTAGAGGGAAACCTGGTGGCCCAAATATTACAATACTCTCGAATTATCATATCTTTGCTGATTCCTATTGATTTAAAGAGAAAAAAAATAAAACCTTTCCTCTGGGTGTGTACAGTGGCCTAAACAGAGACATTAATATCTTGTGTATGTATCTCTATGGTGTGTAAGTCTATGGTACGTATCTCTATGGTGTGTAAGTCTATGGTGTGTATGTCTATGGTACGTATGTCTATGGTGTGTATGTCTATGGTGTGTAAGTCTATGGTGTGTATGTCTATGGTACGTATGTCTATGGTATGTAAGTCTATGGTGTGTATGTCTATGGTACGTATGTCTATGGTGTGTATGTCTATGGTACGTATGTCTATGGTATGTAAGTCTATGGTGTGTATGTCTATGGTACGTATGTCTATGGTGTGTATGTCTATGGTATGTAAGTCTATGGTGTGTATGTCTATGGTGTGTATGTCTATGGTGTGTAAGTCTATGGTGTGTATGTCTATGGTACGTATGTCTATGGTATGTAAGTCTATGGTGTGTATGTCTATGGTACGTATGTCTATGGTGTGTATGTCTATGGTATGTAAGTCTATGGTGTGTAAGTCTATGGTGTGTATGTCTATGGTACGTATGTCTATGGTGTGTATGTCTATGGTATGTAAGTCTATGGTGTGTAAGTCTATGGTGTGTATGTCTATGGTACGTATGTCTATGGTGTGTATGTCTATGGTATGTAAGTCTATGGTGTGTAAGTCTATGGCAGTGGTTCTCAAAGTGTGGCTCCCTCTAGTGGTACACTAAAGAATCACTGAAATAAAAATAAAATATATATATTATTATTTTTATTTTATTTTTTCATTTAACCAGGACATTTCCATTGAGATTAAGAGCCTCTCTTTCAAGGGAGTCCTGGACAAAAATTACATAAATTATAGATTACAAAACGGTTTCATTTCAAAGAGGATGTCTTAAGTGCTCTCAATCTGGACCTAAAAGCATTCAATGAAATAAGTTCAGATAATTTCCAGTGTCTTTGCAACACGTTTCATGTAGAAAGAGCATAATATACAAAAGCTTTTTTTTTTCCCAGTTCTGTGCAAAAGGAACAGAGAGCAACAAAAGATCATTTGATCCAAACCAAATAAACATGTCTCTGTGTGAGTAAACGACAGATGAGGCAGCAGACCAAGCCCCATAAACAAGTGCACCAGAGTCCAAACCTTCTGTGGACAAAGACATCCCATTCCAGAATATCATCCACAGTGAGTCAAGGCTTTGCAGTTCGTAATGAATTGAACATTTTAATTGAATCATAATTTAAGAACAGTTAATTTTTCCCTTTATTTAAGTCTTACTGTTGAAACTGTAAAATGTTGCAATGGCTGACAATATTAAATAATACTTCCTTAGGAATGAAACCTTTGCCTTGTTTTTGATGAATACTTAGGCTTAATACGCTACTGTGTGGTGTTGGTCATTTGTGGTGGTACTTGGAGAGGCAAGTATTTTTTCAGGTGTAAAAAGTTTGTGTCTATGGTATGTAAGTCAATGGTATGTATGTCTATGGTTTGGTGTGTAAGTCTCTGGTATTGTTAGTCTTTGGTATGTAAGTCAATGGTATGTATGTCTATGGTATGGTATGTAAGTCTATGGTTTATAAGTCTATGGTATGTACTGTATGTCTATGGTTTGGTGTGTAAGTCTCTGGTATTGTTAGTCTTTGGTATGTAAGTCAATGGTATATATGTCTATGGTATGGTATGTAAGTCTATGGTTTATAAGTCTATGGTATGTACTGTATGTCTATGGTTTGGTGTGTAAGTCTCTGGTATTGTTAGTCTATGGTGTGTAAGTGTCTGGTTTGTAATGGCTCCCTCTTGTGGCTCAGGCTCGGGGCAGATCCAGCTGTGGCAGTTCCTCCTGGAGCTCCTCTCAGACAGCGGCAACTCCACCATCATCACGTGGGAAGGCACCAACGGCGAGTTCAAGATGACCGACCCTGACGAGGTGGCCAAGCGCTGGGGAGAGCGCAAGAGCAAGCCCAACATGAACTATGACAAGCTGAGCCGCGCCCTGCGATACTACTACGACAAGAACATCATGACCAAAGTGCACGGCAAGAGATACGCCTACAAGTTCGACTTCCAGGTGAGACCAGTGGGGGCGGGTCACGGCTCGAAAAGGTCCATGAGCACGTGCGCTGACATACTTGCAATACCGCTCAGGGCCTGTAGGGGTGTACCCGGAAAGAAAATTATTCAATGCTTTAGTTTGGCGTCTTCTTTCCTCTCGAAAAAGGCTTTACAGGATGGTCCAAAAGTCGGCTCTTGCCCAAAAGCTGCGTTCCACATGTGCGTCAATGCTGAGAGAAGTATATTTTTCCGTTTAGTCGCTAGTTTAGTCGCTGTGGACTTTTGAAGGCACTCACAACATTTTCCTGCCCCGCGGCCATCTTGAAAATGCCCAGAGACGGCGAAAGGGATGGCACACTCACTACTTGCCAAGTGTTAACTTTAACCTATGTTTCAGAAAACAGGAGGAGTGAGTGCTACAGGGTCCAAAGAAGTAATTAAAATCAGGTGCTCTTCGTGATGAGAAATAACATTGAAAAACAAAGATACAGTACCCTTTTCCATGGAAAATGAAGACTCTGATAAAACCTCTGATTTAACCTATATTTGTCTGGCCGCATTCATAAATACATACTTTAACGGTAACACTGCTACTACTAGTGGAAATAATTATGATAATATTTTAGGGTCAAAATTGCATGAATTACATTTGACTCATGACTAGATGTTTAGATGGGCTACATTACCTTTCACTCTCCTGTTCAAATAGAAAACAATAGCTGTAGGAGCGAGCCAGCAGCAGAAACACATCAATCCGCACAGACATACATCATTCTAAAGCACTCCCTGAAATCTTCACATGGGCCCGACTCAGCTCTGCTCAGTTTGTAGGTTTTCACTCTTAAAGTGAGTGTTGAGCTGCTACAGAGGGCGATACTGGACCCGGCTCAGGAGCAGGTCCAGGGCTTGGTCCAGGGCTCGGTCCTGTGTGGTCTGCAGACTGACAGGACCAGGTCTCTCACATAAACACTGGAGGAAAGTCACGTGAACAATGCCAACGGCACAATATGTTGAAGATAATAAATGTCTCAATTAAAATAATAATCTCACTTGGACTAAAGAACCACCTCCAGTTTGATGGACCTTTCATACACTGTGAAAGAGAACGTCTGGAGGACTCGGAGAACGGCATCATTCGGACTCTGACCAACGGTAGAATGAGCTCATGTCGCTACACGTCTGCTCTGAGAAAACACTGGACAGATACACTTTATCATATTTAAATCTGCTGGAAATGATACTATATATTTGAATGCATTGTCCTTTTATTGTTTATCTTTTTATTTTTTGTATGGACCAATTTTATCTTGAGTCTGAAATAAAGATTAATAATAATAAATGGATATGAATAAAAAAGGTTTCAGTCTTGGACTCGAGGACCAGGCTTTACTGCAGTGATCAGAAATGTGTTCTTTTGCCCCTGACTGTTTCAGTTTGGAAGTTGCAGTGTTTGAACAAAGCAACAGCACTATTTCTGCGACTAAACTCTGCTCTGAAACAGAACTCAAATGAAAACAGAATAACTCTGATAATAAATTCCTGTGTTTTAAGTGTTACGTTTGTGATGTGTCCAGGGCATCTCCACGGCGCACCAGAGCCACTCCGCGGAGGGGAACCTGAAGTACCAGAGCGACATGTCCTACATGCCCCAGTACCACAGCCACCAGCCCAAGGGCGCGTACGTGTCGGCCCACCCCGCCTCCGTGCCCGTGTCCCCGGGGGGCTTCTTCAGCGCCTCGCCCTACTGGAGCTCCAACGCAGCGCTGTACCCCGGGACCCCCATGCCCCGACACCCAGGCGGGCACCTCAGCTCCTACTACTGAGCAGGACTGGTCTCCACAGAGAGGACAGCGCCACCTGCTGCTTCTGCCTGACACATGACTTTTTATGGGACTCCAGGTTTGAACAAAGGACCATTTTAATTAGAGGTCGAACCATTATCAGCGTCAGTGTTGGTCAATATTGATCAAGGCCGATCTATGTTGTGAGTCCAGCCTAATGTCGAAACAAAACTCTGTAATAGAACAATTATTTTGATCAAATCGATTTGCAGAAGCTCAGAGAGATTGTTTTCTGCTCTGATGTTTCCTCTGCAGAACTTTAACACGTCTTCATTTCAAATACAAACATGGCTGATATGTTTTATGTATAAATACTACTTACACCAATTACACCAATTATAGCCACTATTTGTCATGAAAAAGTTGAAATGAACAGGAAGTGACATCACACTATGGATCAAAAGAACTGAAACATTTCCATCACACCTTCACGGTTCAGTTAATAAACAAATTTTTATTTAAAGAAGTGAATCCATCAACTTTAGAGAAGAGGAATAATCTATCAATCTCTCCATCATATAGAACAGAAAGAAATGTCTTTGTCTCAGTATTTCAGGCGTCTGGGTGGTTAGCACTCCCACTTCTCAGCCAAAAGGTTCTAATCCCAGGATCTTTCTGAGTGGAGTTTGCATGTTTTTTCCATTTCCGCATAGGTTTCCTCCGGGTGCTCCGGTTTCCATTAAAAACAACCACAATAGGTTAATCCTCCAGCTCCGGTCCTGACCTCAACCACAGAGATGTGAAGGACAGGGTCAAATATAGCCTGGTCGTACCACACCATAGTACAAATAACATTTCATACTAAGGTCTGGAGGTGCTCCATTGAGCTCCGTGAACAGGTGGGAGGGGTTAACTCCTTTTGCAGATTGAAACGATTGGATCTGAGTTTACCGTGATGTATGTAGTGCGCCCGTGTGAGTCGTTAGCATTTATCCTAGCATTTAGCCTAGCCATCTCCTTTGCAGCTAACGGAGCCCGTGGGGAGTAGCGCCACAATTTTTCCAGAGATTACATTTGCTAAACATTCTTCTTGCTCCGGCTTCAATTTCTTGATAGCACCAGACCGGATTACTTTACTATAGCATTTTTCGCCACTGCCAAACTACAACCTTTCCGTTCGACGCAAACTCTTGACGTCACCCAGAGCTAACTACAACACCCGCCTCCCGCGCTCTCTGATTGGTCGGTTAAAATCCAACCGATTGTAATCGCTAACACAGGGACCAGACCCAGACGTTACATGCAGTGAAATGATGATTGAACGGAGTGTACGGATGGATAAGGCCAGGCTAGGTCAAATACAGAGCACAAAGTTATTTCCTATGTCAAAGTCCTGTCTAATTACCAACATCTTTATATATATTATGTGTATAGAACAGTTCATGCACAGGCGACTCAAAGAAGACAGAAACAACACAATGAAAGTCATACATAATCACAGAACATTAAAAAGAATGGACACATAATCCTTCAGTTGTTGCAGCTAAACAGAAATGTTTTTAACCTGGATTTGAACATTTTCAGAGAAGAAGTCTGTCTCACATTTTCAGGAAGACTGTTCCAGATTGTATCAGCATTAATAAGAAAAGCTGCCTCCCCATGATCATTTATGAAGAACAATTGTCACCACTTCTAGAGACCTTTGATGAGGCAATATTGAGACCAAAGTCGACTAAAATCTGACTTTTGACCCAGGAAAGACCACAGTGTGAAACTATAGGATCTTTGGACCGCTGTGATGTCACATGAACGTCAACTATTCAATGCTACGTGAACTCCCACGGCGTCGGAACCGAGCGGGGAGCTGTAGAACCAGAGCATTACTTTGTTCTGATCTCGTTTCACACATTTCAGGGCGTTCCACTCACTGCCAAATGTGCCTTTTTTATACTCACTCTTATACACTGTACTTTTACTTTGTTTGGAACCAAGTTGTTTGTAAAAATCTTGTAAAGAAACAAAAAAATCTTTCATAAAGTGATGGTTGTTCATATGTATTGTTTTTGAAAAGTGGTTAATCTTAAAATGAAATGTACAGAATGTGTTTGTAGCAATAACCCACAGTGTAATGTTAATAAATGATTAAAACGTATATGTTGGCTGTTTTTTTAGATGTTTCCGACACTGGTCTCTCCATCGTCTCAGTTTAAGCCCACCCATATTTGTTCTCATTTAAACACATTTAAATGCAACTCACTGCGATTTTAAAACTGCAGACTTGACTTTACCCTGTGCATCACTTTATCTACTTATTATCCTGCCCTATATGTATACAACTTAACACCATATATATGTATAGATAGAGATATATTCTTAGGTTTCATATGACGTCAGGGCAGTGGCGCGAACAACAAGCGTAGAACAGGACGTGACGTATCCTGGCGGTGCAGTCTGCCAGGTTTATACACGGAGATATAGTAGAAGAAGCGCTGTTAAAATGCCATCTTTCTGTGCGGTGTACGCTTGTAGCAACCGCTCAAATAGAGAGAAAGACAAGAGTTTCTTCCATGTTCCAACTGTGGTCTCATATAAAGGAGGACACTTTGAAAAAAAATCACTAGAATGAGGCGAGCGAGGTGGATCAAGGCTTTCTCAGATAAGCGCCCCCTGCAGGCCACCCGAAGGAAACGCAGACATTTCTTCTGTTTTACTTTCCAAAAATGCCCAAAAAGATTTGAGAAATATTTTTTAGTACTCCCTTAGAATTGAGTGTCCCCGATTAAGACTGTTACAACAACCATACACCGCACAGGAGGAGAGCCTTTGACTCCAAAACAGACTTTACATGGTTTTCAATGGGAGCAAAACTGAGTTGTTCCACCTCTGCTCATGCGCCCCCTACTGGCCAGTTTAATGAAACCCAAGAATTGAGATTTACTCATATAGTATAATGTGTATGCTCCTTGTGTCAGTGACTCTCTTTAAAGAAGCTATACCCGATTTTTTTTCTAAGTAGTTGATAAATATCCTTATTACTACATACAAGTTGTATTATAATCCGTAATTTAATTGAAAACTTGAGGTAATTGATTCAGCGGTGTAAGGATTACAAGCAGTGAAAAGTGCTGAGTAGAGTCTGAGCAGGACGCTCGTTCTCCTCCGCTCACAGAACGAGCAGCGAACAGCCTGCGTCCTCTAGCCCCTACAGCGCTGCTTAACACCAGGGCTTCGGCTTCAAAATTCAAGTAAAGTTCTAAAATAAAAAAAATATATATATATATATATATTCGAACACATATTAGACAGCCCTTACAATTCGAAATGTATTCAATAACTGCAAATAAAATAGTTAGCTCCCAAAGGTTCCACCGGGACGTGCTAGACAGGTAACAGCTAAGCTAGCTAGCTCCCTGGAACTACATGTTAATGGTTACTTTTTGTCACAATAACCAATAGTAATTTGGTCATGAAAACGATAACAAGAAATTCTGAAATCGTCCGTGCATGTGTATTAAGGATGTATATGTATACTGTATTGCCCGATTAACATTTAATGGTGTTGATTGATAGATATGTAGTTGTTTATTGAGCGTGGCTAGCTCCGCTAGCTTCTCTCGTACTTGCGGAGTAATGTTAGTATTTTACACACGTGAATTACAAACAGAGATTGCATTGTCAAAGGGCAGCGGTCATTATTGATTTGAGAGTTCTGTTATCAAGAAAATAATGATCAGTAGAATTACATTCAAGTCAATGGAGTGTTCTACTGCTGTGAAGAGTTGTATAATAAATTATAATTAAATACTCGAATATATTCTAATGTTTTGATGAATAAATCTGGATGTGAAACTAGCAGTATTCATTTACCTATATAATTGTGTTAGCAGTGCGTTGCTTTAGTACCATTTCTTCAGTGGTTGTTGTACAGCTTACAAGAAGTTGTGCTAATGCTAATGTTAGCATACATGTCAGATCGCAAATTGAGCTAGATGGCTCTGTGTTATGAGAGCGCAGGGGAAATGAGAAGCCATTGAGCGAGTTGGGGGGCGGTGCTAAACATTCAACCCTTGCAGAAACGGGTATAGCGCCTTTGAGTTTTGAGCTACATTTTGGGACACATGGGACAGGTAAATGCGGTATTTGTATTATGTTTTTTTGTATATTGGCCTCAGCCCAGAACTCTGACCGGAGCCAATGAAGATCACCAACAACAGACTCAAACCAGTGTCTTAGCTCTTTCTTTTTATTTCAGTGGACTGCGGCTCGTACAGGTCAAAAATCTCCTCGAAAATGCTGTACCTCCCTTTTTCCACTTTCTCCACTTTCACCTCCTCCACCTCAGCAGACCCCTCCAGCTCTCTGGGGCCCTCCAGCTCTCTGGGGCCCTCCAGCTCGGTCACTGCCCAGCGTATGTCCGGGTGAAAGGGCTGGCCCTGTCCACTCTCCCCCCATCCCCCCCTGGGAGACAGGATCCTGGGACTATCTGGAGTCTTGGAGGTCCCAGGAGTCTTGGCGGTCACTGGAGTCTTGGCGGTCTCTGGGGTCTTGGTCTGTTGGATCCCAGGAGCCTCAGTAGTCTCTGGTCTGGACTTCAGTTTGAGCGACTTCTTCTTCTTCTTGGCTCTGGGTTTGACATGGATGTTCCAGGCATTGCTGCTTATCACCGTCTCTGAGGAACAAGCAAGTATGGAAAGTATGGTTTATTTGTATGGCACAGATCATACACAAGGCCACTCAAAGTACGGAACAAAACAAGACAGAAAAGATCACACAGGGCTTTAGAATCATAAATAATCACAGTATAACAAGCAGCACAGAACAGTTAGGGCTTCATGAACAAATATGAGAAAACCCCTTTGGCCCCAACTTTATCTGGAGAATAATCGCAGAACTTGAAAATAGAATGTGTGGAAAATGACCACTTTGATTCAAGACTAGATTGAGTTGACACCAGAGGGGGCGGGTCCCGGCTCAAAAGTGGCCAAAATGACGTGCGCTGACATGCTTTCAATACCACCCCGGGCCGATGGGGGTGGACCCGGAATAAGAATTAGCCAATGCTAACATATAGCATTAGCTGACCTCTCGTAAACGTCTTTACAAAAGTTGGTTCTGTGTGTCAATGCTGAGGGGAGTGAATTTTTTTTGGACCACTCTAGTTTAGTCGCTGTGAATTTTTGAAGTCACTCGTTTTCACATTTTCCAGCCCCTGCGGCCATTTTGAATCACTCCATGAAAGCCCAATTTTTGGCCCATTAGTTAGAACGGCGGAGATAGGCGTGACAACGTCTGTTAATAAATACAGTCTATGGCTGACACTCCTGTTCTGTGACGACAGTGAGGAATAGGTTCAGATCTAAAGACCAGTGCACAGGTTCGTATGGAGAGAGCTACAAACAACTCCAGGTCTGTTTTTGAGGAACCATACAACAATACTTAAAACACTCAAAAGATGCTTCACATGTTTATTCATTCAATTCATTCAACTACTACTGCAGCCACAGCTGCCCTGGGGCACACTGACAGAAGCAAGGCAACCAATCTGAGCAGCTTCAGTGACAGACTTATTCACCCTCAGAGGAGGAGGGGCAGAGGAGGCACTGACCTGTTGAGACTGAGGGCCCACAGACGGAGGCGCAGCAGGAGCACACAGAGTCCCTCCCTGACAGCTCCTCCCACCTGAGGACACAGCGGAACAACACACTCACACTGTTCTTTGTACAGAGAGAGCAGGAACCATGTAAACAACCCAGAGCTGCGACAGATTCAACACGTGAGATGACTAATTACTGAGGGTGACACATGCAAAGAAAATGGACAGTGTCATTCACTTTCTGAAATTCCTGAACAGTGTTTGAATTCCTGAACATTCAAACTAAATGTAGCTCATGATGATATTGTGAGCTTTTGGTTTGAACATACATTTAACTGTAATGTCGCACATCTTTGTAGCACATGTGTCTCTTGCTGATCTCAGGGTGCAGAGGATACAAACACAGCATTTTAATCAGAAATTAAATATGTCTTAACACACGTTACTGACCTTTGTACAGAGTCAAATATTACCCAGTTTTTTTTATGTCTTACGTTACTGCAAAAAGCAACACATTACAGTCATTACTTTTGCAACACGTTACTCACAACACTGCTCCTGGATTAGTTTCCTCAAAGCACAGAAGTCGTGACAAAACGAAACCCCAAACTCAAAGAGTACGCACAGTTTGGATGGATTATCTCGGCAGCAGAGAAGTGCTCACTAACACAGATGTTTTAACAGTAGAACGGTGAAGCACTGACCGGCTGCTCGTCAGGTTGTAGTTGCAGGATTTGTCTGTGACTGTGGGAGAGTCTGGTCCCAGAGACATGTAGCAGTGCATGTACAGCGGCTGGAGGAGACGCAACACATTACTACACAACACACACACACACAGACACACACTCCTGCAGCGTCACTCACGTTCCCCTCTGATCCCGGAAAGATGAACGTGTCCACAGAAAACCTCACGGTGTCATTGGTGCGATTGATGAACGACGAGCGCCCATGTTGGCTCTCCACCATACAGCTGCGGACAAGAGGACACTCGTCACTATGGCAACAAGACTCGACTCGACCCTACCCTACCCTACCCTACTCGCTGTTACTCAAGTGTCCTAACTGTCAGTGATTGACCAGAGTGCTGCTGGAAGCCATGGTTACCGAGGAATTTCCCTGAAGACTGGTTTGTTGTCTTTCTAAAGCATAGAAATTAGACTAGGGCCAAGTAGGGCTGGTGGAAACAGGGCGTTAAATGCACAATGATCACATTTTGATTCAGATCAAAAAGAGTTGTATAGCCCTCACAGATGTATAGCCCGCACAGTTGTATAGCCCTCACAGATGTATAGCCCTCACAGATGTATAGCCCGCACCGTTGTATAGCCTGCACAGTTGTATAGCCCTCACAGTTGTATAGCTATACAACTGTGCAGGCTATACAACTGTGAAGTTGTATAGCCTGCACAGTTGTATAGCCCTCACAGATGTATAGCCCGCACCGTTGTATAGCCCTCACAGATGTATAGCCCGCACCGTTGTATAGCCTGCACAGTTGTATAGCCCTCACAGTTGTATAGCCCTCACAGTTGTATAGCCCTCACAGTTGTATAGCCCGCACAGTTGTATAGCCCGCACAGTTGTATAGCCTGCACAGTTGTATAGCCCGCACAGTTGTATAGCCCTCACAGTTGTATAGCCCTCACAGTTGTATAGCCCGCACAGCTATACAACTGTGAAGTTGTATAGCCTGCACAGTTGTATAGCTTGCACAGTTGTATAGCTTGCACAGTTGTATAGCTTGCACAGTTGTATAGCTTGCACAGTTGTATAGCTTGCACAGTTGTATAGCTTGCACAGTTGTATAGCTTGCACAGTTGTATAGCTTGCACAGTTGTATAGACCGCACAGTTGTATAGCCCGCACAGTTGTATAGCCCGCACAGTTGTATAGCCCGCACAGTTGTATAGCCCGCACAGTTGTATAGCCCGCACAGTTGTATAGCTATACAACTGTGCAGGCTATACAACTGTGAAGTTGTATAGCCTGCACAGTTGTATAGCCTGCACAGTTGTGTACCCGTGGTTATTGATGATGCTGAGCTGAGGCCTGGACGAAGGCCAGGGTTCTGCGGTGGCGAAGCAGGAGTGAAGGTACAGACGGTGCCCAGGAGAGAGCTGCTCTGCCCGGGCCTGGAACAACATGGGTCTGCCCCAGGAGAAGGCTGAGGAGGCGGACAGGGGCTGCCACAGGGCTGGGCACACACACACATACACGGACACACACAACAGTAGCCCAAGTGAAAATCAAATGCTCAAATAACTGACAAAAAGTGTGGAACAATAAATGTATATGTGTTTAAGTAAGTGTCCCTTATCCACCGTATAACAAAGTATGAGTACTAAAGCCAAGATTCAAACCACCTGAACTCACTATTGCGCTAGAGGCTATAGAGACCAGAGAGAGACAGACCAGCGAGAGGCTATAGAGACCATAGAGAGAGAGAGAGACCAGCGAGAGAGAAACCAGAGAGAGGCTATAGAGACCAGAGAGAGACCGGCGAGAGAGACCAGAATGAAAGACCAGAGAGAGGGAGACCAGAGCAAGAGACCAGAGAGAGGGACCAGATTGAGAGTCAAGAGAGTCCAGAGAGAAGGACCAGAGAGCCACAGACCAGAGATCAACAGACCAGAGAGAGACCAGAGATCAAACCTGTGGATTGTAGGTCTGAGCTACAGAAACTGTCAAAAGCATACACTGTAAAATACAGCTGCAGAGGACATTGGGCTGAGGGCTACAGGAAGACCAGAGAGAGAGACCAGAAAGAGAGACCAGAGAGAGAAAAGAGAGAGACCAGAAAGAGAGACCGTAGAGAGAGAGTGGAGAGAGAGCAGAGTGACCAGAGAGAGAGACCCGAGAGAAAGACCCGAGAGAGAGACCAGAGAGAGAGCAGAGAAAGACCAGAGAGAAACCACAGAGAGACCAAAGAGAGACCCGAGAGAGAGACCAGGAAGAGAGAGCAGAGAAAGACCAGAGAGGGCATCACAAGGCCCTATCTGCTCAGAGACTGGACCAAGTCAGACCCGTTTGAAGCAACATGAAGCCTGTTTTTCTCTCTTTGCTTTGTAAACGTACTCTGTGGTCACATGGTTAAATGTGAGAAACCCTGGACGTGGAGGTGACTCACAGTCGGTTGCGGAGAGTGTGAACTTCTCCCTGTTCTTCATCCGTTTGAACAGACTCCGGACGCTCTGACTGGGCCTGTAGCCGATTTTGAAGGAGTACTGGTACCTGACAGACAAGGTTCACTGTTACAGCAGAAAGGACCTAACGACAGAGTGAAAATAAAAACATTTACACAATGACCCTATTTCAGGCTGTTCCACTGGTGTTATTGTGCAAGTTTGCTATAATTTAATGCTAATGTTAAAGTGTGCTTCTCATGCGCTGTGTGTATTCAACAACATATAACCACCACTGGTCTCACTCTCGTCTCTCTCTCTCGTCTCTCTCTCTCTCGTCTCTCTCTCTCTCGTCTCTCTCTCTCTCGTCTCTCTCTCTCTCGTCTCTCTCTCTCTCGTCTCTCGTCTCTCTTTCTCGTCTCTCTCTCTCAGAGCTGTAGATGGAGTAGAATGAAGGGCTCTCACCTGTTGAAGCGGCAGGACAGGTGCATGCTGAACGGAGCAGAGCGTCTGATGGTACTCACACTGGTCTCTGGTTCATAGTGAAGTGTGTTGAAGAAAACCACCTGGTCCCGCTCCATCTGAGACACACACACACACACACACACACACACCGTTTTCTACTGTGAAATTATATTTTCAGTAGAAAGTACAGTGAGAAACATATGGTGCCCTTTCCTTATACTACCACCAGAGGAAGCTGTGGACTTTGTTTTGTTTTCCTCATCTCTCTCTCCTCACTTCTGGTCTCCTCTCCCTTCCCTTCCCCTCCCCTCTCCTCCCCTCTCTTCAATCTCTCTTCAATCTCTCTCTCTCCTCTCTCTTTTCTCTCTCCCATCCCCCTCCCATCCCTCTCCCATCCCTCTCCTCTCCCTATCCCCTCACCTGGTGCTGGGTCCCACACTGGTCCAGCTCGTACTCAAAGTAAACGTATTCCTTGGTGGCCCTGGTGAACCCGCAGATGCCCAGCCGGAGAGCCCGGTCTTGCTCAGGTCGGCCCAGCACGGCCCGCTCCACCTCCACAAACATGCGCTCGTGCTTGCAGTCCACGCGCACAGAGGACCCTGGGTGTGGCTGGAGCTCAGGGGGCAGCTGGGGGTCCGGAGCCGCCCCTCTCAGCAGCTCCTGGAGACGGGGAGGCAGTGGCTCCAGACCTGAGCCCGTGGAGGGGAGCAGGTGTCCAGGGTCCAACAGCGGCTTCAGAGAGTCCAGAGACACGGGGAGACGGAGGTACGGAGCAGACACCGCGGGAGAGAGCGCAGCCTGCGGGCCCCAGAGAAAGGACAAGTTATTGTTTAAACCAGGGGCCTCAGACTCAATGTGTGTGGGGGCCCCATGAGGCTGAGTCTGGTTAACATGGGTTTGTATGCATGATATATACACTGAAAGAGCGATGCAAAAAAAGTCAAAAAGTATAGAATTTTGAAACATGAGTAGGCAGCATCTGGAACAGTCTTCCTTAAAATGTGAGACAAGCTTCTTCTCTGACAATGTTCAAATCCAAGTTAGAACAGGTCTGTTTAACTGCAACAACCGTAGGATTTACTCTTTTTCATGTACTATGATTATGATTTTAAAGCCTTGTGTGATTGTATCTTTTTTTGTTCAACACGTTGTGTAGCCTTGTTTATGAACTGTGCTATACAAATAAACTTGCCAACATTTTGTTTTGAATATCAGCTTGTTACACCATGCAACTCAACTCAGTTTATGCTACTGTCACTTTAAATTCTATTTGGTAATGTGTACACTTGGTGCACTTTTATATATAGTATTAATACAAGAAAAGAAGTTTTATTTTATTTTTTTACTTGTACAACTTCCTTCCTTATAAAAAATATAATAACAACTCTGATTCTCCATCGTTGTGCCTGTATGTCCCTGACAACCGTACCTGTTCAGCGAGCCGCTCCAGGTGTTGTACCCGGGGGGAGGTGCTCTGTGGCCGGGGAAGCCTCTTCACGAGCCGGCCTGGGGGCTTCAGGTCTGCGGTGCAGAGAAACACCAAACACATCCAAAAATACACTGATGATGTGAAGCCTCGACTGCGACAACACCAAAACAGCCACATTATCGCTCAGTTGTGTTCACTTTGGCGCATGCGCACGGCAGAACAAAGTTGCAAATCAGGCGCACGTGTGCGGCATGGACTGTAAACATTAGGTGTGTGGCTGTGCGCCCCCTGCTGGAGAAAACTCATCATAAGAAATATTACTCGCACTAAATAAACAAAGGCGTCTAATTCAATGTTACCTCTCCCCAGCAGGGGGCACTAACTCATCGGAAAGGACACACTATTAAAAGTAGAAATCTCAGAGCAGTCAATTTGACGGCCTTTAGTTTTGTAAGCTTAACTTCACGGCCCATGTACATTTGTGCTCTCCATAACTTTGACAATCCTGTTCCTATATGTGGTTTGTTTATATGACATTATTTGCGATGACATTATCTTTGATTTTCTAAATGTGAGGAGTTGTAGCTTTAACTCGCAGAGCAGTTGTTTTAACGGTTTTAACCAACTGAAGCAGGTGAAGGCCTTACTCGCTCTGTGTGCTAACGTGTTACTCTGCATGAGGTGATATTGCATTTACAATAGTTGTGAGCAGGTGAATAATACAGCCTGAAATATTCGTGATTTTGTTTGTTCATTTCTAAATCATTTTGGGAGCTACCTGGAAGATGGTGGCTAGCTACTGGTAGCTCAATGCACAGGTTAGAGAGCTCTAATCTGCAAGAGGGAGAGAGAGAGGTGTGCAGTTTGTATGTCTGTGTAGTCCATCAATCCAAACCACTTTATTTATATAGTACATATTATAAAATACATTTAAATATACATGTGTTCCAGCTTTAGATGTATAAAAAATAGAATGAGTAAAACAATATGAAGTATAAAGTAAAAACAATAGAAAGTAATAACAATAGAGTACCAGTTATCCAATATAACAATAAAAGTAAAACAGTGTGGTCCACTTTCGAATGTTCTGGAAACAGCAGCGAGTCCCGCGCATTTCTGAAACAGTTGTTTTGAGTTTTATAATTGTTATTATTCCTGCTTCTTTCTTCCTGTAAATGTTACTGCAGTACAGTGTTCATGGTTTTACACGGATGCAGAGCAGAGCAGAGAGGATGGTCCCAAACAAACAGATCAAGCAGAAATCCACTGCAGGAATGCTAAGTTTTGATTTGAAAAATGCAAATAAACCATTTCACTCTGAGAAAATGGTTTGAACCAAGAAGACTTTACAAACATCAACCAGAGGAACCAGCTCATGACCAGCGGCTGCACCTCCTCCTCTGTTGCTGCTGCCCTTTATTACTGTTGTTAGTTACTTTTAGAATGATGTATTAATGTGTTTGTTTGAATGGATTTGTTTCCTCTGCTGGACACCAACATTTCTCCTGGGATCAATAAAGTATCTATTTATCTTTCTACCTACATATCTTTAAATCTATCTATATATCTACCTATATTTAAATCTATGTATTTATCAGAGGTGTGCGATGAGGCCGTAGCAGACCCAGAGCAGAGTGAGGGGACCCAGGCCGCGGTGTGGAGGAGGGGCTCTGGAGGTGGTCGGGGCGTTGTGATTGCACAGGTTTGTGCGGCAGCAGGTGTTGGTGAAGGTGAAGTTGAGGCCCATGGTGTGTTTCTGTCCCGTCTGCCCGCACATGGAGGCCAGCACACAGCTGCGCTCCCACAGCTCCACGCGGACCTCTCCTGACCACAAAAACAAACGTTCAACACAGATTCAGGTTTAGATTATTTGCCATTTGCAGTAAAACTACATTGGAATATACGTTCAAAAGTGCTCAGTGTGCACCAGATAATTAACGGCAGCATGTAGAGATTAAACAGAAGAAGTCCCAGGGTCAACCCCTGTGGCTCTTTGCAGGTCAGGGCCATATGGTCTGAGACACAGTCTCAGTTTGGTCAGTAACGCTTTACTGTCTTCCAATGACTTTTTTTAGAGTTACGAGTACAGACAGGGATTACATCCGCAAAAAAGTAATATGATTACATTTACTTTCTTCTAAGAAAGCAGCGTTACAAACCCATGAGTGTTGTGACTTTTGTCTCGTCAACTCGTGACAAATGAATGACGTATGAGAAAAGCGACCGCTGCAACGTGACAAACTGACACACATCAAACATTACAGACTGTAAATATTACAAGCGGCAACTTAAAGCATGACAGCGAGGACGACCACAGAGTTTTTCATTCATGGAGAAACCGGCGTTATTTTGAGTATGACGCGGCCACAATTATCAGCGTCTGCTGTAAACTGCGTGGGAAGAAAAATACTATCGACAGCGAAGGACTCAACATCAAACCTTTTAAATAAGACTTTTAAATAAGACTTTTACTGTTAATGATTTGATTTTAGAACACGAACTGGATGGTATGTTTTTAACTGAGACCTGGCTGGGTCCGGATGCTCCGGCTGTTCTTACAGAGGCCCCCCCCCCCCAATTTTAACAAGAGAAGGAAAGAGAGGTGGCGGCACAGCCTCAATATGCAGTAACACCATCCATCCATCCATCCATTTTCTTCCCCTTAATCCATTTCTGGGTCGGGGGGGTTGCAGTCAGAGCTGCACCCAGTACACAGAGCACCAGCCCTGCAGTAACACCCTGGCCACCAAACCTATTGTCCAATACTCAAGCTCAATACTCAAGCTCAATAACCAATACTCAAGTTTTGAGTATCACTCTCTTGTTTTTAGCAACCCCAAAATTTTAACAGTAATTATTTATAGGCCACCTATAAAGTGCAGCCTTTTTATTATTAAATTCTCAGCGTTTTTATCACAGTTACACAATTCTTACAATATGATAATTTTAACATACACATTGACAATCCCTCTGACAATTTTACCCTAGATTTCTTAGATGTTCTTAATTACATGGATTTTACCCAACACGTCAGACAGCCAACACACAACAGTGGACGCACCCTCAACCTGGTCATTACCTACAGGCTGTCTCGGACCACTACTGTGTGTTTTTTAACATCACTGGTTTTATTCAGCGTGAGACCTCTGTGAGAACCGTGAGGACATCTAACCCCTGAGGTGGCTGCAAATTTTATCGACATCCTAAACAACACTCCCCACTTGGTTTTACCTGCCCCATGTGATTTTATAGCAAATGATTTTAACAGTAGACTTAGTTCTGCGTTGGATCAGGTGGCTCCTTTAAAAACAAAAATCATAAAAACAAAATCTGCACCCCCATGGAGAAATGAGGAAGTACGGAAAATGAAACAAGAGTGCAGGGTGGCAGAGTGCAGGGTGATGAAAAATAAAACAACAATCAACTACGAAATATATAAAAACAATCAAAAAGCATACAATTACACAATTAGAAATCATAAGAACAAATACTTTGCAAATCTAATCAGCCAGAACAAAAATAATCCAAAAATCCCCTTTTCAACCATCGACACCATTTTAAACCCTGATTTTAGCATGTCTCTTTTAGCCCCCACAGACTCCCTCTGTGAGGATTTTGCAGTCCACTTCACGGGAAAGATAAATACAATCAGATGTAACATTTTATCCAACCGCACTACTGTTTTTAACACATCTGATTGTTTGTCTTCACCAGAGGAAACACTGGACAGTTTTGTCCTGGTTGATGCTGAGATGCTTGATAAAGTTTTCTCCTCAGTGAGGCCCACCACATGTCTTTTAGATCCAGTCCCCACTCCATTTTTTAAGTCATTTTATGAATCTTTTAGAGAGGAGCTTTTAAACCTGGTGAATTGCTCTCTTCAGACTGGGGTCTTTCCTGCAGCCTTCAAAGCGGCTGTGGTGAGACCCCTTCTGAAGAAGAGCAATTTGGATTTTAATGATTTTAACAACTACAGACCGGTGTCCAACTTACCATTTTTAAGCAACATTTTAGAAAAACTTGTTTTTACCCAGCTCAATGCCTTTTTAGATCAGCAGCAAATTTTAGAGAAATTTCAATCAGGTTTTAGGGTGAACCACAGCACAGAGACTGCTCTTTTAAAGATTTTAAACGATTTTAGACTAAGTTATGATTCTAAAAAGGTGACCGTGTTGGTTCTACTGGATCTTAGCGCTGCCTTCGACACAGTAGACCACACCATTCTTTTATCACGCCTACAACACCTCGGCCTCTCTGGTGCTGTCCACAAATGGTTCACTTCTTATTTAACAGACAGATCCTTCATGGTACGTTTGGATACCTGCTCCTCTCAGGTCCATAAAATCACATGTGGTGTGCCCCAGGGTTCCATTTTAGGTCCAGTCCTTTTTAACCTGTACATGCTCCCTCTTGGCGGTGTCATCAGGAGACATGGAATTAACTTCCACAGTTATGCAGATGACACACAGCTGTACATCTCCATGTCTCCTGACGACACCAGGCCAATGGATGCTCTTTTTAGCTGCATTTTAGACCTGAAATCCTGGATGGCAAAAAACTTTCTCCAGCTTAACCAGGACAAAACTGAGGTTTTAGTCATCGGTCCTGAGGCCCAGAGAGAGAAACTTTTATCAAAACTCCAATCACACTCTTTTAATCCATCATCACAAGTGAGAAACCTGGGCGTAATCTTTGACTCTGAGCTGACTTTTATTCCTCACATCAAGAACATCACAAAAATAGGTTTTTATCATCTAAAGAACATCGCCAGAGTCCGCCCCATTCTCTCTCGGGCCAACACGGAGACGCTGATGCATGCTTTTATCACCAGTCGCATTGACTACTGTAATGCCCTGCTCTCTGGTCTTCCCAAAAAGAACATTGCAAGTCTTCAATTACTCCAAAACTCGGCCGCACGTGTCCTGACTAAGACCAGGGGGCGGGACCACATTACACCGGTTTTAAAATCGCTGCATTGGCTCCCCGTGTGTTTCAGAATCGATTTTAAGGTTCTTTTAATGGTTTTTAAATGTCTTAATGGTCTTGGGCCTTCTTATCTTTCAGAACTGCTTTTATCCTATGAGCCTTCCCGGCCCCTGCGCTCCTCCGGCAGCAGACTCCTAACCATCCCCAAAGTCAGGACACACACTCACGGCGAGGCATCTTTCCAGCACTACGGCCCCTGTCTCTGGATCAGTCTGAGGAGGAGCTCAGGGCCGCAGAGAACGTTCATATTTTTAAGAGTAGGCTCAAGACGCACCTTTTTAGATTAGCTTTTGATTAGTTTTTATTATTCCATTATATTTATCTTTTATTATTTATTATATTGCTATTGCTATTATTCATGTATTGTGTGTTGCTTTTAGTCTCACATTTTAGTGTTTTACTTATTGTATTGTTTTTAGTGTACCCAGTGTTTCCTCTGGAGGAGCCCTCTGCACTGGGAGCAGTGGTCGGTGTGGCTGCGGGGGTCGGACTCTTGGGCCTGGTGGGGGCCTGGGGCCTCGGTTTCATGTCTCCTCTGGGTCCTGTGTAGTCCCCTGTGGCTACGAGCGGCTCTCTGCTCCTGGTGCAGACGGCTCCTTGGATGACGCTTTTTCAGCTGGTTGCATCTGAACCCTGCCAAGTCTCTCATCATGGTTTTACTGTTTTACTTGTGTGTGTGTGTGTGTGTGTGTCAGAGAGTGTGCATGAGAGCGTGTGTGTGTTTGTCTGTGGTTTGGGGTGGGTCTGTCGGGTGGTCTGGGGGAGGGGTCTTGGGTCGGCGGGATTGTTTTTAACCAAACTGTAAAGCACTTTGTGTTGCATCTTATGTATGAAAAGCGCTTTATAAATAAAATTTGATTGATTGATTGATTGATTGAAACCCAGTAAGCGCCGAGCAAACCAGGAAAACCTGAGAGAATAGGATATGGAACACCAGGAGCCACAGTGGGGCGGCTGTGGCTGTAAAGTGCCAAACTGTGGTTGTGTCCTTAGGCAATACACTTCATCCACATTAGAATGAGTCTGGTGTGTGTGAATGGCTGGTTGGTGGTAGTGGGAGGGGCTGATGGCACAGACTGGTTGCCTCGCTTCTGTCAGTGTGCCCCTGTGTTTGGAGTGAAAGAATAATGACATGTGAAGCATCTTTGTTTTGTCACTTTTAATAAGTGCTAAAACTGGTGAATATAACTGGGCTAATGCTAACTGGTAGCAAGTAAACAGGATGTTGCTATGGTTACTAGCGCTTGCTCTTCTCTAGTGAATAAAAAAGCAACTTTGAGTGTCTAAAAAAGTGCTTGTGGACGACAATAGCTCAGTTGGTAGAGCATTGGCCTTTGAGCCTGAAGGTCGTGGGCTTGAGTTCACTACGGGACCTTCTCCATCGACTCCCACTGATGTCTGCTGTCGTTGTGTCCTTGGCAAGACACTTAACCTCTGGGAACACCAGGTGCCACAGTGGGACGGCTGCGGCTGTAAAGTGTCAAACTGCCGTTGTGTCCTTAGGCAAGACACTTCACCCACATTGCCTGGAATGAGTCTGGTGTGTGTGTGAATGGTTGGTGGTGGTCGGAGGGGCCGATGGCACATACTGGTTGCCTCGCTTCTGTCAGTGTGCCCCAGGGCAGCTGGACAGTAGTAGTTAATCATCACATTGTATTCAAATGGATGCATTATAATTATAATTATTAATAATATGAATAATATAAAGCAGCAGAGACGGGTGCTCACCTCTGTGCCCCACTGCGCGGCTGGTCAGACACAGCTGGTCTGGGGGACACTTCACTGGGAAGCGGATGCAGTCTGTGGGGGAGTGTGTGGGGAACACACAGGTGTAGCAGAACAGGGGGGCTGCACACAGGACAGACACACAATTAATAAAATAATAAACATAAACAAACAATTGTTTAACAAAACTCCAATTTGAGTGAAGAAAAAAGCAAAAAATTAGGAAAATCAGTCAAAAAAAGCCCAAATTTAGAAAAAAAAGTATCTTAATTTGAGCACATTGGGACAAAGCAAAATGATCATGTTTTAAAAAGATACAAAAACTTCTACTAATACTACACATATTTTTTTCTATTGCATGCATTGCAACATTTTTTTATGGCAAAAGTATTTTCATCAGAATTATTTTTATTACCTCAGTGTAAGTAACAGGAAGTCACAAACTTTGCTTTGGTTCAAGGTGCATACAAGTTTTAAGAGTAAAAAGATAAATGTAAATGTATTTAAAAAATCTTAAAATTACTATCAATAACAAGTGCACAAAGTACTCACTATACTCACATTTAGCAGTGCAGTGAAGGGACAGTATTTTAAACATTATTTTTAAGTTTGGAGAAAAACCTTGAATTCACCACTTTAATTTTAGATTTGTGCCTTTTGTGATGCGACCTTGAGTGCCTAGAAAGGTGGCATGTAAATTGAATGTATTATTATTATTATTTAACTAGACATCATTATTATTTGACCTAGAAGACTGAATTCTGAAATCGTCCCGGGTCTTGGTCTCCCCTCTCCTTTTTTTCCAATTAAGGTAAATACACACAGAACATCACATCTGCTATCATGCTAAAGTTAGAGATTTTATACTTGATTCTTTATTATGCTAAAGTTAGTATAGAGATCCAGTATTTTAGTATAGAGTTATTGTTCATTTCTCTTGTGCTGTGTGCTCCTCATTCCTACTGTTCTGTAACTGGTGATAAAACACTGACATTTCACCCACTGTGAGACCAATACAGGATCTCTTGGTCTTCATCTTAGACAATGCTTCTGTCTCCTTCACTCCATCTGGACTCATTGATAAAAGTAAAGTATTAGAGTATGTACTTACCCACACTGGTCAGTCCACTCAGCAGCAGCAGCAGCACACGTAAAAACCAAGCCATGTCTTCTCTCTTCTGTCTTCAAACACAAAAGTGCGATCCAGAAAGCTCTCCTCTCCTCTCTGCTTTCAATCGCTCCATGATCACATCTCCACAGCTAAATTCAGTTAAGCATCTTCTAATAGCAGGCCAATTATGAGCAAGGATCCGGCAAAGAGACTGTAAATGCAACCAGTCCAAAAAAAAAAGAGTTTTGTCCTCGCAAGCCTTTCTCAGCGCTTTTAAGATGTGTCGAAGCGTGAAAATCTGCTGCTATTTCACATTTCTCGCACAGTTTGACCGACTTTTTACCAAATTCCTGAAAAAAGTGGTAATGAATAACGTTTAGCCGCAGCTTAGCGGAGTGTAGTGGGGTAATTGGAGCCTCATGACCGAGAGATGCTAAAAGAAAAGTAAGAAAAGTTCAAGAAACAAGCACAATTCAGATCAGAAACACAGCGTAGGATCTAATCTGCTGCGGTCATCTGGCAAAACAGACACCGATGCATTAGTTGGATAAATGGTATTAAAGATTCTGGCCTTGTTTCTGATAGCTGGGAGAGATAATGGGGTAATTGCGTTAGCGTTAGGGTTCTTGGACAATAGAGCGGTTGTTTAGGCACAAAACCGCAAATAAATCTGTAGGAAAGAGGCTGCGATTAGCAGATGAAAGACGGGCTCACAAAGATTGAGATCACAGAGGGTTTGGTTTGAAGGACGCAGAATTTACTGTTGAGTTTGTTCAGATTTGACACATCTTCACAATAGCGTGTTTGTTTTTAGGAATGGACAACAACAACAACAACAACTTATTCTTGTATCGCCCTAAATCACAACAGCAGACATCTCAGAGGACTTAACAAAACCATTGAAATCACCAACACAGATCAGAGAATCAACAGTTAAAACACAACATATTCACATATGTATTGGTCCAAAAGGAGAGACCAATGTCCATGAACGTTGATAAATGTCCATACATGTTGTAGAATTTTAAAGTGTCCTGGATCATCACAGTCCTTCTAGTTGGACACTAACTGCCCAAAAGACCCTCCTGCATCGGCAAGGAAAAACTCACAAAAACCCAGTGGGAAAAGAAAGTGAGAAACCTCGGGGAGACCCACATTTGAGAAAGTGATCCTTCTCAAATGTGTACACGCACGGACGGGCTAATGATCCAGGACCTAAGCTGCAGAACTAGGACCAATGCCACGCAACGGCCGCAGAACGTGGACAGGTCCGGTGCAGGACTGAAGCGCTCCCAGGTGGGTCGGGCAGGGCAGTCCACAGGTGTAGATGGAGGGGGGCAGGGCAGTCCGTAGGTGTAGATGGAGAGGGCCGGTTCTGAGGTCCCGTTGTCGCGCCGAATGGAGGGAGCAGATGTCCCAACGAGCCCAGGACAGTTGATTTGAGTGTTTATTTGTTTAATTATCAGACGTCACTGCATAAAACTTTCTAGAAAATCATCCACTTACAATTACTTATTACAATACTGCACAACATTCAAACTCAAAAAGGAGTGGGAGGACGGAAAAAATCTTATACACTTTCACCCGTGTGCTCGGAGCCAGTAGCAAAGTAATGCACAACAACACGGCAAAAAGCAGCACAGCGACCCCAGTGTGAGCTCTGTGTCCCAGTGTCACGCTAAAACAGTAAGATATTATGCTGCATGGGTCTCCAACCTATCACCTGGGAGATACTCTCGTCACCCTCGTCAAAGTAGTTCCCAAAGGATCATTTTAACACTGCACTGCAAAAAGTTATGGAAAATTAGTCAGAACTAGAACCACTCAAACTATTACCTATTTTATTTATTGCAGTGAAGAGTAAATATAAAAAATGGCTACTTTTTTGCGTGAATAAATTATGTTGGATTGTTTTTCAATTGTATTTATAGAGCCCTTTACAACACTCAAGGCGACCAAAGTGCTTTACAATAAAATCATATTAAGTCCTTCCTCCAGTGGACGAGTTCAAGTATCTCATAGTTCACGAGTGAGGGAAGGATGGAGCGTGAGATTGACAGGCGGATCAGTGCAGTGCGCAGTGATGCAGTCGCTCTTTGGTCCCTCCTTCACCCATGACAATGCGCCCCCTCTGGTGGCAGCAAGGGGAGTTACAAGGGAGTTTTGGACCGTCATACTTGTTTCTACTGAATATATGATTTCATCTGATATCATATTAATTAATCTGATTTAAATGTTTAATGGAGTCGGTCACATACACTTCTGGCTCTGCAGCGCATCCTGCAGGAGAGACACAGGTACTGAACGCTGCTCCAGGTGTCTGCGCCTCATACGCAACACGGCAGAGTCCACCGCAGCGGCAGAGCTCTTCCTCTGGAGGTCGCTCTGCAGGAGGTGGCAGGAGCGCTGCAGCCGGGACTCCTGGGCCTGACAGGAGGAGGCGAGGCGGGACAGGAGCACACTGCCCTGAGGAGCACAGGGAGAGGGTCAGACTGAGAGAGGAGGACTGCCCTGAGGAGCATAGGTTCAATGGCCATAGTGAGGGAGAGGAGAGGAGATGGAGGAGAGAGATGAGGGAGAGTGGGGGGGAGAAGAGGGACAGAGGAGAGACAGGATAGAGAGAGGAGGGAGAGAGTGAGAGGATAGCGAGAGGACGGTGATGAAAGAGAGAGATAAGGAGGGAGTCACCTGGTTGAGCTGAGCTGCCTCTGGGAGTTGGGTTCCTGGGTGTCTGTGATAGACTTGGACCAGAGGTCGGTCCAGTCTCTCTCTGGACAGAACGTCTCCACTGTACTCTGGACCCTGAGCACAACAAGTCAATTAAATTTATTTGTGTATTGCCCAAATAAATCTGTGTGATTCACCAACACAGATCAGAGAATCAAACACAAACACAGGAAATGCAACGATAACAAACACATAAACCCATTTGTCCATAAGGAGCAGATGACCATGTCCTGGATCAACACTGTCCTTACAGCCTCCTGCATCAGAGGAACTACTCGGAAATACAGTGGGAAAAAGTGACAAACCTCGAGAGAGATCCATATTAAGAGAGGGATCTGCTCCAGGACTGATACTGTAGAACGAGGACTGAGATGAATGCTATAAGAAGCATGATATACATACTGTATGTACACATACACACACACACAGTGTAAGTGTGACCTGGGTGCGTCCATGGCTGTGCAGGATCAGGGCCTTCTCTCTCCGCTTGCGGAACGTGGCCTGTCTTGTGGCTCCACACATCACCGACAGGGATTGCTACAAAGAAAAGTGAAAATTAGGGTTGCAGAATTCTGTGGATCTTCAAAGTTGTTGAGAAAAGTATATTTTAGCCTCATCTTGACATCTTGAGGGTGCAGCTTTGCATTGGCCTTCCATGTTTTAGTATAATACAACAGAGTAATGTACGTGGGAAAAATAAGTTATGAAAGACTAGCACCAGTCAGAACATGGGCGCACTGTTACAGCACAACCCCCAATGCAAACACAAACATTAACACAATGTTACAACGCACTTCAGAAATACACAGAACTCTTTTTTTTTTTTAAATAGACGCAGATGTTTGGCACAACATTTGCGCAGAAAGTTAATGATATTAGCATATAACCAAAAACAAGGCCAGGTCGGTTTTTGGCGAAGCAAATAATTTACTTTTTAGCTAGGATACTATGGCTAAAACTTCAGATTAGCCCTCACTAATTAACAGCTAATTCAGTGATAATTAGTGTACCCTAACCCTAGAATAAGGCGATGTAGAATAAGGACTAGTAAGTACCAATTAAGAAATAATTAACCATACATTATACACTAATTAGCCTTCAATTAGCTGTTAATTTCCAAGGGCAAAAGTGTGACCTAACTATGTAATAACATTAGGGATGCAGCGATAGAGAAATGTTGACCCGATACCAATGTTTAACAAAACAACTTGTTATTTATATATAAATATTTCTTGGCGGCTTCAGTTTTCACTTTTCTTCAGCATGTAATCGCTGTACACCGCCTCGTGTTTCTCAAATGTCCAATGAGATTTGTTGTGTTCAATTATTTTCTAGCAGCTCTTGGAATCTCACAGGAACACGTGTCAACTGCATAACGCTGATCTTAAACTGATAATGTTAGATATTTCCACACAACCGCCGCCATCTTCTTTGTTTCTTCTACTGAGGAAAATGCGTGGACGGCCTCTACTTGTATCTCTTTGCAAGCGCCTACCGTCTGCGAAGGTCATTTGTTTTTGCCAATGGTAGTTAACGAGGCAAACATCGGCCGGTACTGATGTTCAGCCGATGCAATCGTAAATCAAATCCATGTCCCTCGCTCTCAAAACAATTTGCTTCTAAAACTAGTTCTCATTTTTCAGATCAGCTCTTTCATACAGAATAGTGTCAAATAGTGACTCACAGGGCGCTTTTCTAATATAGTGAAGACAGAATGTTGTGGTGTATATTTCCCTTCAATTTCTCCATTGTGAGATCAATAAAGCGTATCTTATCTTATCTGAGTAATATGTGACGAGTGGTGTTGTCATGGTTACCTGCAGGGTGACGGTCTCTGCCACCTTCTTGAGCAGGCCGTCGTTGACCGCTTGCTGTGCCGCCCTCTGCCTGAGGAGGGCGTGGTGGAGCTGCTGTCTGATGCTCGTCCTCAGGTGCTGGGACTCGAGCACCGCGGAGCTGGACCGATCTGCGGCCTCTTTACACTCTGCACACAACAGACAAGTCTATCCTGCTTTAGTCCTGCTTTAGTCCTGCTTCAGTCCTGCTTCAGTCCTGCTTTTGTCCTGTTTTAGTCCTGCTTTAGTCCTGCTTCAGTCTCTGCTTTAGACCTGCTTTCGTCTCTGCTTTAGACCTGATTTTGCCTCAGTCCTGGCTCTGTACCTGGGGTGTAGGGGCTGGTGGGGTCTGCTTTGGTCCACTTGGGAGCAGGTCTGCCTGGGACTCTCCTGCAGACACTGGGCGCCAGCAGGTCCAGAACACGAGCTCGTTCTGAGGCACAGGCCACGAGCCGAGCGCAGCAGGACGACAGACTCTGAAACACACACATCTGTCAATCACACGAAGAGAAGACAAGAAAGAAACACAACTTCAAACTGTTTGCTTTATATTTGAATTCTCCTGAAGCACTTTGAACATTAACAGAACAGAAAACACATACTTACTTTTGAATACGCTGGAAAGTATTCAAAAGTATTCTGTAAATGTTACTGCAGTTCAGTGTTGGTTTTTCACTGATCCAGACCAGAGCAGAGAGGATGGTGCCAACCAAGAGGATCAAGAGGGAAATCCACGGTAGGAATGCTTTTTGCTGCTCTACTTTATTACTATTGTTAGCAACTTTTAGAATTATGCATTTATGTGTTTGTTTGGATGTGTTTCTGCTGCTGGACATCTGCATTTCTCCTCCTGGGAACAATAAAGTATCTATATCTATCGTCCTTTATATCTATCTGTTTCTGTTATTGTAGAGGCAGTGGTTATCTGAAACATAGTAATGAGATACTTCCTGGTGCAGAGCAAACCTATGTGTGTGTGTAGTGTATGTGTGTGTGTGTGTGTGTAGTGCAGACCTGTGTGTGTGTGTGTGTGTAGTGCAGACCTGTATGTGTGTGTGTGTGTGTAGTGTATGTGTGTAGTGCAGACCTGCATGTGTGTGTGTGTGTAGTGTATGTGTGTGTGTGTAGTGCAGACCTGTATGTGTGTGCGTGTGTGTCTCAGAGTCTCCTCCAGCTCTTGCTTCAGCTGTTGCAGTTCTCTCCTCTCTGAGCCCAGCAGGAGGTCAGCCCCGTCACACACCTGAAACAGAGAGGACTCACATAGTCCAGGCCCAGTCTAGACCCAGACCAGACTACTATGTTTATTTGCAGTAAAAATAAATATAATTTTTTATTGAAAAGTAACTACTAAATGTTCATTGAAATAATAACTAAATTTTTAGTGAATTAAACATGTGTTTAAGTCAATAAAAATATTTGAATGGCTAAAATATAGAATATAGAATATGTTATAGTACAGGTCCTCTGTACTCACGGTCCCAGTACCCTCTGGTCTCCTGTCCCTCTGTACTGACAGTCTTGGTCCCCTGGGTGTCCTGGTCCTCTGTACTCACGGTCTCAGCCCCCTCGGGTCTCTTGGTCCTCTGTCTAGAGTTGGCCTGGTTCAGCATCAGTCCGCTCTGGAGGCTGCGTAGTGTGGCCTCCATCAGCTCCTGGTCCCTGTGAAGTCGAACCCCCTCCTGAGCCACACGTGAGGCCCGTCTCCTCAGGTTGGCCTCCACCTCCTGCACCGCCCTCATGTACCCCCCGGCCCGGGTAACGCTCGCCTGTGCACACACCTCACGGAAACCTGAGCTGGGAAACGCAGCGCCCCCTGAAGGCCAGGCCAGCTGTGGAGAAAGACAGGGTCACAGTTGCCATCCATCCATCCATCCATCTTGAAGGTCGTGGGCTCAAACCCACGACCTTCAGGCCCAAAGGCCAATGCTCTACCAACTGAGCTACTGTCGCCCCGATTGTAATTGTCGATTATAATGAAACAGTTGCTATTATAATCATTTTAATCATCATCATGGTAACGGTTGCCATGGAAACAGTTGTCACGGTAACAGTTGCCATGGTAGCAGTTGTCATGGCTGTCATGGTACCCGTTTCCCTGGCAACGGTATCCAAAGGAACAGTTGCCATGGCAATAGTTGCATTTTAGTGATAATCATTTTAGTCATCTCAGTAACGCTTGCCATAGTAATAAAATGGTTGACATGGTAATGGTTGTCATGGTAAGAGTTGCCATGGAAACAGTTGTCATGGTAATGGTTTCAATTATAACGGTTGCCTTTCTGACAGTTATTATGGTAAAAGTTGCTATGGTAATATTTTTTGTCATCATCATGGTAACGGTTGACATGGTTACAGTTGCCATGGTAACGGTTGATATAGTAACGTTGCCATGGTAATGGCCACCATGGAAACAGTTGTCATGGTAATGGTTCGAATGGTAACAGTTATCATGGTAACAGTTGTCATGGGTCCGTGTAATTTTCGTTCAATGGTTTTTTCAAATTAAAATAGAAAGGAAATATCTTAAAATGGCTTGAATTTTCATTTTTCATTTTGATGAGGAAAAGGAAAAACGAAAAATTGGCTTGATATTAGATTTTTTGTTTCAATGTAAAAAATTAAAAAACAAAATATTGAAACAAAATTAATCCGTGTACCCTTCGATCATTAGTTATTCCGTGGTTGTTTTATTATATTTCCATTTTCTAAATTCAATTGGAAAATCAAAACATTCTAAATAAAATATTCACCCATTTCTTTGCTATGCAGTGGAAACAAACACTACTAAAACAACTTCCATTATTTTGTTTGATATGCTACCGGAAATGATGAGTGGTGAGAGACGGAAACAACTGCACTCAACTCAACTCAACTACACGACAACAACTCGAGCTGTTGTTGAGCTCGCCCTGGTACGAATGCTTCTCCAAGTCCCTGCTCCGACCAATGGTTGAGCGAGTTTCCTGCTCAACAGACCAATGGTTGAGCGAGTTGAGCTGCTCAACGGACCAATCATTGAGCAGTCTGAAGCAAACAAGATGGCTGCCGCCAATCCACTGTTGTCACAACTATACCGGTACTTTCCGTCACTTCTTTGGACTATTTTAATCTCTCTTCGGGGGTTTTCTTCAGAAGCAGCAGGTAAGGCGCTTGTTTCCTCTGTGTCTGTGGCCGCACATTGTCTGTGGATTGTTTTTAAGTCCGTCTCTGCGCTAGATCTGTAGCGGTACAAACCTGACAGACAGCGTTAGCATTAGCCTACTGCTAGCTCCGGGTAACGCTATGTGCTTGCAATGATGTGAAAACGTAAATATTTACATGAATAACGCCATAAATATCCCGTTGAAACCGTGCAACATGTGTGTTGAGTGATGCACGAATATATAATGAATTATTCTGTGAGGCTTCTGTATAAAATAGTCTGCAACAGACAGTGTACTGTAATATACAGTACAGAAGATATTGATAATCTTTTGTTTGCCTCACAGAAGGGACATTTCACTGTCATCGTTGCACTTTACAGCAGAATATAAGAAAGGAGGAGCTAAGCACTCAAATAGATCCTGTAAGGTGTGCAATCTAAGATAATAGATAATAAAAGGAAATAATAAGTTCTTAGTAATAAAATAAAGTTCCAAGGATATTTAACTAGTGTATACACTAGTCAGCAGGAGGTATTTACAGATGGAACCTAATCTATTATAGAATCTATTAAATGTTTACTTAAAAATAAAGGTGTAATACTGCAATGCATTCGGGGGTATTGATGTTGCTACTGTATATGATGAACATAACAGGAAAGCATTTGAGCTAGTGTGGTTTGTTTTGTTTCAGAGATATCTGCATAACAACTGAGGAACCTACTTTTCTTTTCATCATCTGCATCTCAGAGACATGGAGGTAAATGCAACAACACATAACCACAAACCACGCAAACCAGTGAATCACTCATATGGACCAACTTAAATAAATAATTATGTTAATTAACGGGTTGGACTAATAATAAAAATGATGATAATGATAATAATGAAATGACATAATCCTGTACATTGGTCACTTGACACATGTCTGTAATGTAAGGTTGATCATGATAGTGTTTGTGCTTTCCCACATCAGGCGCCTGGACACCAGTGCAGTGTGTGTGACAAGAACTTCTCTCTCGAGTCAAACCTGACTCGCCACATGCAGCTCCACACGGCACAAGAGGAGCACATGTGTGATGTGTGTGGACAGCCAGATTGAGCCTTTGTGGCTGGATTGTGACCAGGCAGAGGCTGCAGCCAGGAAGACCAGGGGAGACATGTGGGAAGGACACTGGTGTTCACTTTTAGCAAATACTCTGGCCACTCTTTCAGCTGGCTGCTGGAGAATGATGTGGGCTGCTGGCAGAATACTGCTAGTTACTAGTACACTAAAGCGGGATAATCCCATTAAAACTTTTTGTGTCCTTTTCATTAAAAAGCATAACTCATGGAAATAATTCCCCTGTTTAAGTAATATTAAGTCATTGTGCAATCTACAGATCTACAGCTACAACCTTGTCCAAATGTCTCCGCTTTTGCAAGGTAAATTGATAGATATTAAACCACCATATTGTTTTATTTATCAGTTATCAAATAAGTCGATACATAATTATTGTAACTGGCCTTGTTACAGGTGGAAATGATGCGTACATGTACAGACTATTAACAAATTAGCATATGGGATGGCAGCTTCCATATCAACATTCAAATGTGATGGTTTTTTCCTCTCTTCAGAGAATGTCCTGGATGAGGAGCATGTCTCCACAGTAGGGCTGGGATAAACGATTATTTTTTAAACGATTAATCTAGCGATTATTTTTTTCGATGCATCGATTAATCTAACGATTATTTTTTTCGCTTCGATTCGATTTCGATTCGATTCGATTCTCGATTATCTCCCCATTAATTGACTAATATTGATGTATACATGTTGATTTAAATATTTTAATGAAAAAAACATGAATTCCTTCACAAAAAATATGTATTGCTTGCTCTTAAAATTAAAAAATAAGACATTCTTAGAGGTAGCATAAAACCTTAAAGCCTTAAAAACACAGCTTACTGAAAAAAGTGCATCTTATCATTCTTGAAACAAACATTTGATGCTTAGCATTCAATAAAAATATGAAAAAGTTCAGCCAAATACTTGTGTAGAGCAACTAAAAGAAAACAGTAACCAATGTAAACTTGAAGGCTTTAAGCTAAACAAAGAGTGCTTTTCCAGCAAAAACAGTGGGAGCCATCAGCCTGTCATGGCTACATAAGAGTGTAGAGTTGCCACAGGACGCGTCATCAGCCTACGTCAGCAGCTGCGGACTGCTATGAAAACATTAGCTTTGTGGTTTCACAGGCGCAGTTGACTGCTTAAACTAAACTTTGCACGAAACTTTGACTCTTAAAACCCACATGTGACAAAACGGAACCATCAACATATCGCCTCAAATTGCATTAAAAGTGACATTCGTGTCTGAATTCGTTCGTATTTTAACTTTTAAAGAAATTCACGGTCCGCCATCTTGGTTTGCTTCGGCTGCCGTGAGACGCGCATACGCAGGTTTGCATTACATGATAAACAGCTGAGGCTGTGCATCTCTTCAAGGCAGTGTATCTCAGCGTTACACCGGCTTGCACTTCTCTAACACGGCACTTGCATTGCTACCGCTCGCCGCCATCTTTGTTTTGTGTGTGACGCACCGACGCGCATATTATACGTCGGTGTATTTTTTGCGTCGACGTCACCGATTACGTCGACGCGTTGTCCCAGCCCTACTCCACAGCACTTGCAAGAATGACCCCCTGACCCCCCCGGTGTCTCAGGCCTTGGTCCTCGTTCTGTAGTTTAAGTCCTGGATCTATAGCCCGTCCGTCCATGTGGAGCGGATCCCCTTCTCAATATCTGGTCTCTGGTCTCACTTTTCTCCCACTGGGTTTTAGAGTTTTTCTTCTTATGCAGGAGGGTCTATTGGACAGTTGGTGTCTAACAAAAAGGACTGTGATGATCCAGGACACTTTAACATTCTACAACATGTATGACATTTGTGTCTACTCCTTATGGACCAATGGTTCTGTGTTTTTAACACTTTAAGCACAAGCACAATGATATTCTCTGATGTGTGTTTTGAAAGCTATACAACGTATTATGTGCTTTGGATTTGCCTGATATTTATTAAATTTTTTAAATTAAGTCTCAATGCTCTTTCAATATTATCCATGCATTATTTGACAGGGACAATGCAGACACAGTCATAAACAAAGCTTGCAGCTAATGTGATGAATATAGTTTATAACAGACGCTAATTCACAACTCCTGGTCCTGGTTGGGCTTTACTACTATAAAAGTCAATACAATTCCTACATTATAGAAATACGCTTAATTTACAGCCTTTAGACTTATACTTTATTGAGAGAATAGAATAATCTAGAAGTAGATGCTCAGGAATATACATATTTGTGAATATGTACATTTACAGTATAAAATACAAAAAACCGTGCTCCACAAGGTAAGAGCTCTGCAGGGGGTGCTTTGAACAATTCATGCCATGATTCATGAGAAAGTATTCAAGTCTATTTGATTGCCAAACACAAATGTAAACTAAATTATCAAGATAATCAGCAATAAATGGTAAAATCTACATAAATATAAAAACGGGTGGACGTGGGCTCGAACCACAAACCTCTGGATGCAACTAAGAGCAATAAATGGTCAAATCTACATA